CGCAGTGAAACGATGCTTACGGCGCGCTCGATTCCAATGCCTGATTATTTGTGTTTATCTGATTTATTGTCCTATTGTTATGCACCTGTACTTGTACTTGTACGAATCCATTAAATAAATAAATAAATAAATCATCATTGTTATCATCATCATCATTATTATTATCATTATTATTATTATTATTATTGTTATTATTATTATCATTATTATTGCTATTATTATCATTATTATTATTATCATCATTATCATTATTTTTAACAGATAATTAATGAATTATTATTATCATCCTTATTATTATCATTATTATTATTTTCAGTATTATTATTATTACTATTACTATCAAGAAGATCCTAAAGTGAAAAAGTGAGCATTGTTTGTTCGACATGTAACGAAAGCCATCTAGCAGCAAGCTTATTTGTATTTCTCAAATACCAGCTGTTTTATTTCTTTAATTTTTCTTCATCACAGTGCTTCAGTGTACTTAAATATTTATAGCTATTGCCATGTTAGAAATGCAATCGAATATTTTCCTATTGTGCTAAAATATATGTAATAAATTAAACTTAACTAGATACCTTTGACTTCAAGTGTTTATTGGAAATTTCAAAAACGCTACTTCACGCGACTTTAAACGACACGAGTCGACCATATAAACAATAAATTAAAAGTAAAAAGTCGACCACATTAAAAAAAAACTTCGAGTTGACCATATAAAAAGTAAAAAAGTGACCGCATAAAAAGTCGACTTGACCATATAAAAAGTAAACTAGGTTACATAAGTATAAAGGGAATACTGACTGGTTTGGCGCCCCATACTTTAAATACTAGTTGACTATATAAAAAGTAAAAAGTTGACCGTATAACAAGTCGAATTGACCATATAAAATGTAAACTGGGTCACAGAGCTACAGAGGGAATATTTATGGGGCGCCAAACCAGTCAATATTTCTGTGACCCAGTTTACTTTTTATATGACCAATCCGACTTTCTATACGGTCAACTTTTTACTTTTTATACGGTCAACGTTTTATTTTTTACATGGTCAAGTCGACTTTTTATACGGTCAACTCTTTACTTTTTATATGGTCAACTCGAGTTTTTATTTGGTCAACTTTTTATTTTTTATATGGTCAAGTTGACTTTTTGTATGGTCAAGTCGATTTTTTACATGACAAAGTCGACTTTTCATATGGTCAACTTTTTACTTTTTATATGGGTCGATGTAAAACGCAGACTGCAGACTACAGAGCGGAGGTAAAGTGCTGACTGAGGGTAAAATGCAGACTGAAGACTGCAGATCAGGGGTAAAATGCAGACTCGGTTCTAAAATAATCAACCGTTTATGACCGCGGTATCGACCTGATTGTGAAGCGCAAGAGAAAAGCGTTGAACTTCTTGAAGCTTCTGATACAGAGCACCAATTCCATGATTACCCCTATCTTCGCAGCGCAAAACAAGGGTACGAGAAACAGGTTTTTAGTGTCCAAGTAATCGAAATTGCCGATGTGTGATGAAAGTCTATCGCTACTATTTTTAAGGCCGAACAAAGTATACATGAGCTACATGTATGTTAAAGCTACCTAATATTGCTCAGCAGAAATGTTTATTCCTTATATGAATAAGGGAAATGTATTTAGCTGGCTGTGAACCGCATAATCAAACACTAGCGTTTCTTATTGTTCTTACCTTAAAACAATATGTCAACGCCAAAACCATCTGATGACGTGAAGTTCGAAACCTCTCACAACTCATCTCACAACTTACGCGGCCTCGATCCCAGCTCACTCTTGATGTTTTTCCGGGGAAGCGGGTTGTTTTTAAACCGAGTCTGCATTTTACCTCTGGTTTGCAGTCTTCTGTCTGCATTTTACCCTCGGTAGTTACACTACCTGGTGTGGAGTCCGCAGTCTGAAGTCTGCAGTCTGCGTTTTACACTGACCGATATAAAAAGTAGAAAGTTAACCATATAAAAAGCCGACTTGACCCTATAGAAGGTAAACCGGGTCACAGAAATAAAGAGGGAATATTGACTGGTTTGGCGCCCCATATTTTTATCCATTGATTTACTTAGCTAGTAATACATGTTTTTTTTTACACAGTACTTTCCAGCACTTACTCACTCACTCACTCATGCCCTTTACGCCTAACAGGCATGTAGGGCAGCAACGTGTTCCCTCCACATCTGGCGATCCCTTGCTATGAACTTGATGCCCTCCCAGGTCTTCCCCATCTCCTTTATTTCCTTCTCAACTGTCCGTCGCCATGTGATCTTGGGGCGACCCCGCTTGCGTTTCCCTTCTGGCGTCCAATGCATAGCAGTTTTTGCAATGGAAGCTTCTTGGCGGGTGACATGGCCAATCCACCTCCAGCGTCTCCTCATCAGGATGGTAGCCATTGGTTCGGTTCCACACCGTTCAAAAAGATCTTTGTTGGAAATGACATTAGGCCAAAAAATGCGTAAAATACGCCGAAGGCTTTTGGTGTGAAAAGTGGAGAGTTTTGATAGATCCTTCTCCGTTGAGCGCCAACATTCTGAGCCATACAGGAGGGTTGTAAGGACGCAGCTATGATAGAGCTTCAGCTTGGTACAAGTACTATAGGTGGAAGAACGCCATACCTTATTCATCATATTGAGCGAATTTCTGGCCTTGTTGAGACGGCTCTGGATGTCCAGGTCAGTTCCTCCATCTCTACTGATGATACTGCCGAGGTAGGTAAATCTGTCTGTGTAAGGAAGCTCTTCGTTATCAATCTGGACTGGTCGTGTGTTGGTAGCGTTCAGTGCCATAATTTCAGTCTTCTTGCTGCTGATGTTCAGGCCAACTTGCTTTGCAAAGGTGTTGAGGCGATGCGTCTTCTCTTGTATGTGGGTGTGGGTGTGTGATAGTAAGGCTAGATCGTCTGCGTAGTCCAGGTCTTCCAGGTAGGAGAAAGGTGTCCATCTGATTCCCCTGACCTGATCTTCAGTGGTGCGATGCATGATCCAGTCCACAACAAGGTTGAAAAGAAATGTAGACATTACACATCCCTGCCTGATACCAGTGTGAACTTCAAATAAAATGTCACCATCACCAACACTGCAGGCAAAGTTGTCATAGAAGCTTTTGATGATCTCAACAAGCACCAGCACTTAGGTTTGAATTAATTGGTGTAATTAGCCTTTGTTTGATTAATTCACCTGATGCATTTTACTTTCACTGTCTTGCAGTTGTAGGCGGTGGAAATAATCCATTTAGCCAAATCTTCTCACACATAATCTGGGCAGATAAGTTTGCCACAATCTAGGTATGATATTAAGGAGCGCACGTTTCGCAAAGTCGTATGACAATGGCCTCAAAATAACTTAAAGGAAAGTTCTTAAGGGAAGCTTGTGATAAAGACGGAAACTTGGTTTCAATAACAAGACGAACAGATAAGCTTGAGTTCACTAAAATAACATTCACGCGCAAAGTAACTTATGAACGTAAACATCGCATGCGGCACATGCCATCGCAGGTGCACTGCTAAAAGTATGCACGCCTCACCCAGGTAAGGCTCAAATGCCCCACTCCCTCCCCCGGGAACGGATGACGGTCAAATTGCTTAAATTCACTTGCAAGGGCCACTTTTTCAACTTGTCGTAAGTCTGCTCCTGAATAAAGTTCAATTTTTGTGTTCAACATTTGCAAGTCATATTATTAACGTCACGCGGGCGGAAAAAATATTGTAGGCCCTGAGCTACTGGTTACGCCACTGACTTGCTACGATGAGTGGCAAAAGTAATTGGCACGCCTCCCCTTTCTAGGTGGCTGACAACCCTTTACTCAACACAATAAACAGAAATATCGTAATGCATCTTTACCAAGCTACTTGCAAGTTCCCCCTACCTTTCCCCCCATAATTCAGCTTAAATAAAAGTGAATAAACGATTAAAAAATGGAAATATATCTAATCTAAAAATATTGTGAGGGTTTACTATATTGGTGTTGAAAGAATGAATGGAAATAATATATTAGCGTAAGCCATTCAGTAAACATTGTAATAAGCCATTTGATCATTTCTTATTCCTTTTGGCGGTCTTACCTTACGGGTAGAGTTTGGTTACCTTTTCCTTATTATGATCGTGAATTTGACATGGAGACAGATGTTTTTGCGTAAACTACAGTTTGCGGCTAGTTACCGGTACCTTTTCATTATGTTGTTCAAAAAAGTAATTAATTACCAAGAAAATGACTCTACACTATAAAAATTGATCCTGCACAGGAGTTTCTAGGAAATATCCCTTCTTTATACTTTTATCCATTTAATACTCTCGTTTTTAGGCTAAATCCATGTCGAATTCCCGATCAGGAAAATAGTTTCAGTTTTTAATTTAACACGTTCGACACCTCTTTTTCTTAGAGGTGATTTAAGGTGTAAACGTGAAGTACTTTCATCTTCCGCACTTAATTTGTAATTAGATAACTTATGCGAATAGTACGTAGCTCTCTTAGGGGCGGTACCGTGGGTACACCCTTTCTTCTCCGAATTTGGTGCTTACTCTGCTGTAGGCTACCTAAGGATCCCTGCGATATTTCAATTGTTTTGTCACGCATTTCCCTAAATAACATTTGCGTTTAGCGGCTATTCGAGATCAGTGGAGACGCGTAATTGCCGCTCAGATCGAAGAGAAACCGGAACCCAAATAGGTCAAATAGGAAAAACCGAAAACTGCATCGGATATCAAATCCGAAAAACCGTTAGTATTTTTCGCGAAAACCGAAAACCAAAACCTGAATAACGGAAAATCCGAACCGCAATGAACACCAAAACCGAAAAACCGAAGTTTTGTGGCACAAAAACCGAAAAACCGATCTAAAAAATAACCAAAACCGCAAAACCGAAAATCCCAATGCCCCCCTCATAATTTCTTGTGTGACCGTGAATAAATCTTTAGGCCTGGGAACTAAAGCGAGTCTTATTTAGTTTCAGTTTCTTCATAGCATTGGCGCCTCTTTCCATTGCATTCTTCGGCAACGATTATGACTTCTTTATCTAAAATTGTTGATCTGAAAGAAAAGATACTGATAGAAGAATTTGGCCTCGAACCACGTATTCGTTACAATCCAAGCGAAAGCGACAATTTGTTGCACCTTTCTCCGATTGTCCTCCTAGATGACAAGGAGTTGAGAGAAGGTGGATTCCAAGATAGAGGTGCTAAAGACGTTCTGAGTCGAGTAGCGAAACATATATGCGACTCTGAAGATCCTTCTTTTTTTCAAGTGCCCGAGATAATCGACCTCCAAATGGGATACGCGAAAAGATCCGCGAACAAATCGAGTAGAATGGCCATCGATGAAGAAGAATCCAAAGTCTGGATGACATACATGAATGTGTCGAGGTTAAATCAAGATCAATCGCCAAATCCCAATTCCGACGGTGAGGAGCCACAGGATTTAGGTTTATCAGATGAAGAAGAAATGGATATTACTCCTCCAACAGCGGAGGATACGCAGGATGTAAATGAAGAGGATGTAGTCAGCCCGCTCAAGAGCGGACTGAAATTTCCCATCAAAGGTTCGCTCATTCTTCTCTTCTCGATACTGCTAATTTTCTTCGATAAGAAGAAAAAGAAGAAAAAAACAGCAAGCTCGAATGATGAAGAACCAAAAATTGGTCCGAACAAAGTGTCCGATTTCTTGCTATTTTGGATCATCCCTTATCTACTCAACTATACACATCGTAAAGTACGAGAGATCACCCAGTACCACGAAAAACGTGATAAACCTGGCTTTCCACCAGTGAGCAAAAACTCAACTTTAGATGTCATTGAGCATGCGATGTCGTCTTGTAGCGTTTCAGAGGAACTTAAAGCATCTATTATGGGAAAATACAAAGATTTTTATGGCTCAGAAGCACTGGAATACAAATACGACTTATTGGAAAGTCCAGAAGGGACACCTGTTATCCTGGTCCCAAAGGATTACAAGGTCACCCAAATGCCATTAAAACTTGATGATATTGGGACTAATTGGCGACAGCTAGGTAATACAAACCTCCTTCAGTTGTTTCTTAGCAAGTTCATCAAAAGCAGGAAAATCCAACAAGATTTCTTTGACTCGTTGGAACATGCGAAAAACCGGCAGGGTATCGACTATTCCATCATACTTCCCGATGAGATAACATTTGATAAATTTAAAGATTCTCTTGAAAGGGAAAGTCGCGATTATTTGATTACTCCGAAAGGAGGGCGCAATCTGATCATGCCCAGACTTGGTTTAGTTACTTCCACGGAGAAGCATTTAAGGGTTTGCTTTACCTATTTCCAGGGTAAGCTTGCAAATACGCATGTTTCTTGTATGTTGAATCTTCAATTTTTTTTGTACACATATTTTCATTACGTTGTCGGTCAACAACTCTTTTATAACAACTTTATTGGGTACGTCTACGAATAGATGGACGCCAATTGGGTTAGTGCAGCGGGACATGGAGTCCCATACGGGGCACTACCCCTCTTAAATCCACCCAACCCAACCCAGGGGAGGACATCCATCACACAGTAATCTCGTGCGTGGGAAATTAACGTCTCCTACCCCAAACCCTGCAGGAGACAGGACCTCCGGCTTAACGTCTTATCCGAGAAGACGAAGCAAGGTGAGTGAAGCGGCTTGCTTAAGGCCACAACGTAGTGCCCCGGCCAGGACTCGAACCCGGGCCGTCCGACCCAGAGTCCAGCGCTCAGACCACTGGACCACTCACGCCTCACCTTTAATTGACTCTTGACTCATTAATTCCTATGAGTGACCAAGACAGAATTTCTCCTTACAATATTGATACAACACAACCAGATAAGTAATGAGAATAAAGAAATATACAAATTAGAGAATAATTAGTTGATCCAGTGCTAAATTCTCTGAACTAACATCATAAGAATTGTATGGTTGACAGTAAGGAGAATTACAAATTTGATCTAAGAGTTGAAGGGTTAAGATGACTTCTGCTCAGGTTGATGATCAGATCACACTATCAAATTCCCATGGGTTCAACCCATTTACTGTATTATGCTGAATACCTTCTTGCAGACATTGGCCTACTACAAAATACAAGTCTCAGTCAATGGAATTCAATCTTAGGCCATCACACTGAGACTAATATTTTTTTTAAGCATAAAGGTCAATCATTTAAAGTGTTGATTTTGAGATAGCAAACTGCTGCTTTAGTTAAGAACCTAATATGAAATTAATTATCTATCTAGATATCATTTGAATTTGCTCTAAACTATTTTGAACTGTGAAAGTGCATAGCCACTATTAGTGACAATTGCACATGTTTGAATGCTGACCACAGACTGGTAACATGGATTCTCTACACAAATACTCAGAAAAAAGGAATATCCAGTATACATAGCTACAATAACTTCATCTTTTCATGATGTCCCCTGTCTCTGGAAAGGCGATATCCACAGCCTCACATTCAGTGGCTGTGCTATCAAAAATCTCTCTCTTTGGCAGACAATCAACTTGAAAGCTTTGCAAATAAGTAAAATGTACCATTTAAGTATGCAGTATGGGTTGTGTGAATTTTTTTTTACAATTTTTTCTTTCTTATTGCTTTTAGGAAGTGCTGGAAAAAAAGTGGCTGCTTTGTTCAGGGCCACTGGGGCCCATTACCTGGATCACTTGTCCTTAATTATTTTGCATGGTTTGAGCCTTAACAGCAGTGACTCAGACTGCACCATTGGAAGTCTTTATCCTGTAAGCATTGCCAGAAAGGTGACTTTCAGGGGCAACAGTGTTCAGTTGGTGAAGAAAAAAAAGAAATCTGACAGTAAGAACACAGGAAAAAAGGATTTCTCAGCCAGTCAGGGTAAATTTTGTAGAGCAGAGTTTCCTGAAACTTACAAGTTATGGGAGAGGACAATTAGAGAAGATACTGTAGTGGATAATCTGATCTCACGAGCAAAAGCCAGGTTAGGATTTGACCCCCATTTTGAACGTAATGCACCTCTTCATGTTGCTTACGCCAGTAAATGCCATAGTAAAAAGCTAAAGGAGGTGCCGTTTGGAGCTTCTTTGGAACCTGATAAGGATGCTCTAAGCAAATACCAAATAAGAGCTGTAAATTTAGATGGATCTTTCCTTGGTAACATTGTGAGAAGTGGACGCAAAGAGAACATTGCAGTTGTTCTTGCCATTAAAGATGTCTGTGGGAAAGTAGGCTGTGGATTTTCAAATCTACCCCAGGCCATTCAATCCATCATAATCAATTTTGTAAGGGCAGTTGTTGTCGCTAACCTACCTAAAGGTAAGAGCCCGTAATTTGTATGGCCATGTCTAAAATGTTCCCAATTTTTCTGAAAACTGGTAGCCACCAGTGTCTCAGATATAGTTATACCTCATATTGAATTCAGCAGAACCTGAGAGCCAAGCAAGTGAGGATTAATTCCCAGTGCAATTAATCAGGTTCCTCCACCATCAAAAGTTAAGGTTTTGCATATCTTCAATGATCCCTTATTGTCAACAGCACAAAATCGCTCCTGATCAGTCCAATTTTTCTCTGACCATTCTGCACCATTAACATTGTTCACAATTTGCATTCCCAATAGTTGCCAAAATTTGTAATGGTTTGAAAGCACTGACAGAAATTCTTCATTTTCAGAAATTTTCTGAAATGAAAATAAGTCAGTAGACATTCAAATAAGAAAATGGAGTAATGTCATAATACTCTGAGGAAATTTATTAAATGGAGGTAGCTAAATATAACAAGTTAGATGGTGAGATTAGAGTGAATGTTTGAAACTTTTGCAATCAGGGAGTAAAAAAGAACATTTTAGAGTGGTGGCTTGATTCATTTAGATTTGACTAGTTTTTGCCATGATCATTTTTTGGGTGCATAGCCTTATAATTGTATCAAATTATAAGGCTGTAATGTTGTAATGTTGTAGACTAACATTTTTTTCAGCCAACATTTAAAAATGTATTATCACAATGGTTTTAGAAGTGTTTTCTAAATTGCTTCTTCTTAATCTTCATTTTGCTTGATTTTGGAACATCCTGTTATCAAGAAAGTCCTTAACCTTAAACAGTGACATTATAATTAAGTAACATCATTATGATGTTAAATATGAGATGTCCAATTAAAGTTGTTGACAGATATTTACAAACTTGCAGTCTACCCATCAGAACCTGATGAAGAAGACAGGATTGTTATTGAAAGTGGTTCATCAGAGGATGAGGATGAAAGTTCTGATGATGAACCATGTGCCTCTCGACAAAATGTGGCTGGTTAGTAGAATGCCTATTTTCATTGTTACAATAAGTAGTACTAATTATATATTACCCTTCCCATCCCCTGAGCTTTCTACACAGAGCCATTTGCAACCCATGGGTAGGTTAGTGGCTGGGCTGCATGGGGGCTCTAGCCTTGATGTCAAGGTTCCTTCATTTTCATTGGCCAAAGGTAGGCATTGTCTGCCTTCAAGCCATCAGGTTTTTACAGCCCTTCCTATGCCTGCTGCTTTGGACTTTCAACCACCTTCCAACCACAGAGTGTTCATCCACTAGCTGAGCTATGGCAGGGCGTGGACCTGACTGTCAATTTTGTAACATACATAGTAAGCTTTCTTCCTTTGTGAAAAGGGGTAGGGCAAATGTCCCCATTCATCAAAGGACTGACCATGGTAGGTGAAGAACTGTTGTGGTCCAAAGGGCTCATGACATTTTAAAACTCCCCAAATATCTCTCAGTACTTTGCAGCAATTTTGACATATCCCTTGCAGTGTTTATACCAAATACTCCTAGAAACCATTCTATTTCCCGTAATATATTTTTAGTCTTAGAAGATGTAGTTTGAGTAATTTTTTATGAGGAAAAAATAACTCTATGCTAGTGTATTGTGTGGCCACCTTTGGCTAACTATGTATCTCAAACCAATCAGATTGCCACATTAAGGTATGTATCTTGCATAAATCAAATCACAACATTGGGCAAGATTGCACCAATCAGAATGCTAGGGTATTGTCCTTTGTGTCAATCATGTCATGGAATTAGCATTGGGTGTTGCAAAGTGTTGCTATGGAATCAACCCAACACTGACACACATTAAGAATTTTATCATCAAAGAATTGTGAGGTCATCTATCCAGCCAAATAATTCATTTGCTTGGTTTGGAACTCGTTGCTATGATCTGTCTTGGATAACAAAAGTTGGGCAGGGAATTTTCCTACCATATAAAAGTCGAAGTGTGTTTTGTGCAGTCCTTCACTTACAACAGTCACGCAGTCAGCAAAAGGCAAGCTAACACAAAATTATTACTGGAGCATTTGTTTTGGAAGGACTAGTATTGCTGACTCTGGAATTTTTCCTTTTTTCAATGGAAATAACCAGGGGACAAATATTGAGGTAAACAGGGGTTATTGCATAATATCTGGTCAGTGATTTTGCACAACGTGACATAAATTAGCTAATAGAATTGCGCAAAAATTATTAGGTGGGTTATAACTCGACCCTTATAGATTGTGTTAGTAAATGCAACTAGCATTGCTCAATTTTATCCCCAATTATGCTCAAAATTATGCTCTTGTTTAAAAACTAAGCTACTTTTTCTTGTAATTTGCTTAAAAAAAAGCACAAAAACAAGTAAAAATTGTAAAGTTGTTTATAAGTCTGGTATCTTCTTTATTTTAATTTATTTACTTGTTCTGATCAAACACAATTAATTACTGCACTGAATAACTGCTTCGATGCCGTTTTGTTGCCTGTAAAAGCGGGAACTGGCACCGACGCAATGTGTCCAGACCTCCAAACGGCGAACGACTCGGTGTTGCGGTAACCTTCCCCCAAAACATTACAAAATTACGAATAGACGGAGCCATGGACCAAACAAGTCATAACCCTGGTAGTTTTCCCTTCAAAAAACTAAAAATAGGCGTACTGTTGTGGCAGTGTAACTCTTATAAAAGGAGCAAATATTATGCTCGTTTTTCCAAATGATGCTAAAAATTATCCAAGTACAATCGTGAATTACCTCCCACCGACGCAGCTCTAAATTTTCCTTCAAACTTATCACCTTTAAGCAATTTCTAGGCCTGTTTGGCACTCTGGACGCTTTATATATTTTCTCATATAAGAAAATTGTAAAGAAGGGGTATGATGAATTTAAGAACGCGATTCTCTGAACCTCTTCTTGAACTTCCGGCACCCCATATCGCACTTCCGCTTCCCTTCTAATTTCGCTAGTTTCCAGCCCGTGGATGGTTTCGCGGTGTGTGGCAAAATGGCGGACAGCATCTGTGGCGATCAAATAGAAGAAAGGTAAGGAAAGCTCGTTATCTTGTCATCCAACGCTATTTTTACACGTACTACGAGATGAATCTCATACATTTTTTTATCTTCTTAAGAAAATTCTAAGTTTTCTGTGTTGTGCTGGGTTTGAATTTAGTAAAATCGATTCTACAAGTGTTGATAGTGTTCTGACACACTAGTACTATTCAGTGAACTTACTTCACTCGCTTCACCGGTTTGAACTTCAAATGTCGGACTTCTTTAAAAATAAGAACTGGGAAAACCTAACGATTTTTCATCTGAAAGCAGTCGGATAGAATTTGAGCTACTCTATGAATGGAACTCACAGTGAAATTACTGCGACGAAGGAGAGTTGTATCGGCTGGAAAAGCTGATTCGACAGGATCTTGTGTGGGCAGTGAAGTAAATCTCCGTTCAGTGTAGTTTTATCACTCCACTATTTGACTTTGAATGCCTTAGTGGATAAATGTGCTCGCTACATTCCATGAGGGGTGGTAGAGACAACGTTCTATAAACATGTAACAACTTCATCGGTGCGGTTATGAGTTAAATCCCGACCTGTCAATCGATGTCAATTGCTTGAATTGCGGGAAAGAGAAACTTGTCAGCAACCAAAAAAATTTGGGCTTAGTAGCCTTACGTGCCTAAGGGCACAAATACGATTGACTGAAAGGCTCCAAATCCAACTTTTTCAATTGAATCTTATCAAGTATAGCCCCATCAAAATGGTTTTTGCCCATGAACTCTTTACAGTGAATTACATTTCATAGGAAAATCATTTTGGAAAGCAAGACAAAAGGATAACTTTTTTTACTTCTCTCTATAATATGTGGCAAGCAGGTTGGAAGTTCATTTTGAAATGACATTATTTTTCTCCCAAATTGAATCCATGGTTGCATATGCTTTCTGCTTACTTGTTGTTAATCACATGTTGCTAAATGATCAGAGTAAATAAGAACAGTGACACCTGCTGGGTAGGGTTCTTTTTTTTGTTTGTTTGTATGAAGGGATACCATGTTTTCAATGAATTATATCTAGGACAGTGTCTTTTGTTGAAATATATTACTTTGATAGCTTTGGTTTAAACATTGAAATGATTATGCAGTCTGATCAAAAATGCTTACATTTTCAAACAGTAATAAGCATTTTTTTCTTCCCCTAATGGCAGGGCAAGTGGTGGTACAAGCAATGATTCTTTAAAAGTTTCAAAAGTCACCCTTATAGCAGATGAGTGGCTGTCAAAAAAAGGAGGCCTTTCCACCATCAATAGGGAGCTATCCATACAACTAGCAAAGTTCCAACATTTGGAAGTTTTTCTTTTCATGAGTAAATGCAATGAAAAGGAGAAGGAACAGGCAGGGCAATGGGACATCAAACTCGTTGAGTCAGAGAGACCCAGTGAAGAGGAATGGTGGAAGTATCCTCCCAAAAACTTTCAAACAGACTTTGTCATTGGACATGGTTCCAAGCTTGGAAAACAAGCAGAGTTTATAAGAGAGAACTATGAATGCAAGTGGGTACAAGTGGTACACACAGAGCCTGAAGAATTGTCAAGTTTCAAGAGATATGCAGGGGCTGGAGCTAAAGGTGAAGAGAAGTCTGATGAAGAAGTCAGGTTGTGTAGAAAGGCTGATATGGTAGTTGGAATTGGTCCAAAACTGACAGAAGTGTACAATGCCAAATTGCGCCCCGGTTGCACAGTTTTTGAGCTTACCCCTGGGATCTTCAAAGAATTTTCCGAGGTTGAACAAGCGACAGAAGAAGGGGAGAATTTTAGGGTGCTAATCTTTGGTCGTGGAGACCCAGAAGATACTTCCCTAAAAGGCTATGACCTTGCCGCCAAGTCTATCGCAATATTGCATGAGAGTCATCAAGATAAGTCTTTCTTTCTAATATTCATGGGTGTGCGGGATCAGGAGCATGATCTGGTGAAAAAAACTTTACATCAAGAAGGTATCAACCTTACGCCAGGAAGATTGGTGATCAGAGCATTTTGTGAATCCAGAGAAAAGCTTTCTAAAACTTTTCAAGAGGCAGATCTTGTTATTATGCCATCAAGGTCAGAGGGCTTTGGGCTGTCAGCACTAGAGGCACTATCTGCTGGCCTCCCAATTCTTATTAGCTGGAACACTGGACTTGCTCAAGCTCTGAAAAAGCTGCCAAATGGAACCTTTTGTACAGTGAAGACTGATGAACCCAGTGATTGGGCCAAAGCAATTAAAGAGGCAAGAGAGAAGGAAAGAGAGATTAGACTTGAAGAAACAAGGCGACTGCGCCATGACTATAAAAAGAAATATTCCTGGGAGGCACAATGTAAAAAGCTTGTGGAAGAAATGCTTAAGTTGGGCAGACATGGTATGCTTAAAGTACTATACATGTACACTTATCTTGATTAACCAGTTACTTTAGTTTTCAACAGTGGTATTTCTTTGTAAAATTGCATGCAAACCAACCCAGTTTATTTATCATGGGGGTCAGGAGGCATGGGATGTTTAGGATGTGTGGATGTGTGCAAGCTTAATTCCTGGAGCCAAAAATGGAGAAAAAAAACTGCTATAATTAATGTGTAGAGGTTTTCTGAATTTTATCAACAGTGCAAAAAGGAGGTAGAAAAATGTTTTCACCTTGCTGTGCAGTTTTTACTAAGAACTGTCACTATAATAGAATTCAAAATCAATTCCTTAATATAGGAGTTATTGTGGACCTTGTGGAGGCCACTAAGTCTCAGCCTTATAAATAGTTGTGCCAAAAAAATGATAAAGAAAATCAGTAATAACAATTTTTCAGACCTTGCAGAAGTCTCTACAAACCAACATGTGATCCTTGTACCTCACCAGGCTTCATCTAATCATCTCCAAGGTACATGTGAAATATGATTTAAAACATAACATTATGAATGGCTAACACAGTACTGATTGAGTTAAAGAGTCCTGGCAACTACATGTAAATTCACAAAGTCATAATAACGCATTGAAATCAGATTCCGGAAATTTTAGAAAAATTATTTTAGGATGCAAAGAGTACAAAATGCTAGAAGCAGCATGATAAACAAGATACCAATTACCTTTCCCCTACATTCAAACCAGTTATAACTACTTTCATCATTATCATATGAGAATAGAACATCATAAAACTTTAAAGTTACCAAACATTCACACTTGAGAATAAGGCAAAGAAAAATCACAGAAAACTTTGAGTTGTTTTTAAGGCTTTTGTTTTTAAAAATAATTAGTGAACCATGCGCAACATCTCTGAAATATTACATTACATGCAGAAACAGGAGAGGAAAAGAGAGGTTCCAAGAGGGGAGAGGAAGAGCTGAGTAGACCTAACCCTCGTAAATGTCACCAAGGTAACTTCAAAGCAATCCTGCCTTTTCAAATTAATAACTGCATGAGAAGCAGTGTGATTCCACAATGTAAATGCATCATCCAAAAGCTGCAGCATCTCTGAAGGATTTGGAAATTCCAGTGATTGCTACACTCTATGGGTTAGGTCCAACATGAAACTCAAGCCTGCTTTTGAAACTTAATCTGACTCAGGAAAGTCTTTGAAATTTTGTATTTATCACAAAATATGAATAAAGAACTTGTATTTGATATTCATGAAAGGTGTAATAGGATTTGTATTGAACTCGGCAGCTTTCATCCAAATGTGTTCAGGTTTTGGTCACTGAAAAAGGTCACTAGAGGTTGTATTAAGAGTAAGGGATTTCTGTTGTAACATTGTTCATAAATTATAGGGAAAGGTAGTCAGAGGAAGTTGTGTGGTGCTCCATGAATTAAAAAGAAATGTGCAAAATTTTTCAGCTGCAATGGTTGAATGTTCTTACTTTATCTTAACAGCTATATTACTGTTAATTTACAGACGGTTATTTTTTTGGTTAAGTTGGGTTATTTGAATTATTAATTATTGGACTATGTCATTTGCTATTAATCTGATACATTTTTAATTTCTTTTGATCTATCAGGATATTTTTTACCACAATTGGCAGTAATGTTGAAATCTAATCGGCCAAATTGCTGTTGTACTGTCCAGAACACTTTTAGCACTGTGATGACAAATATCATCTTCAATTAGAGAACAGACCATGCTAAACTGCTGTTCATATGTTAATTAGATAAACTTGCTGCACAACGTACAACTGCAAATTAGGAGCTGGGTTTGAAGTGCGATGAGCTCCTTACTTATTGAGGGCTATTTTTATTCCTTTACAGTTATGTGTTGTGGTTTTATCTGGGTAGTTACAAGGTTGATATGAGATCCAGTCGCACAGTAACTTTGTCTGCTACTTAGTTGGGTTTCACAAAGCATTATATTATGGCCAATCTGTCTTTACTGCCTACTCTAATTTCATGCATTCTGGTAAAAACTGATCACAACAATTGTACAGAAATCTTTATTTTGACTCTCAGGTGGTGACATGGAGATTGACCTGCAGCCAACCACAAGTGGATATGGCAGTCCACAATGTAAGACATATAATCAGTCCATGTTAGTGATATTTAACACATTTTTATTGACCTTTACCCTTATGATGTTCACTTTCCACTTACATTTTTACCAACATTTATTATGGCAGGGATGTGTATGCAAAATGGTAGGGCTGTAAGAGCTTTGTAACTTGACGGCTTTATGGAATTATGTAATGATAGAGATTGTACCAAGGTTCATTGTACTTTTGGTGGTCAAGGAATTTCTTCACACTTGCCTCTATGAGGTTAATATAATGCCCTCTAGGTTTGGTGAACTTCACCAGTCATAGAGTCGAGTATTTTTCTTGCAATAAATAGGGTCTTTTTTATCTTATATTTGTTCTTATATTTGATTTATTCGAAATGATGGGTTTATTGTTTTTTACTTGTAGTGCAATACAAAGTTGGTGTTCCTGGTGATCGTGAATTACTTGATCTTTCAATTGCTATAGCACCCAAGTGGGAAAGAGTTGGTATTCTCTTGGGGCTCTCAGACCATGAAATTGGTGACATCAAGATCAATGAAAAGGACAAAGCCTATCGGATGCTGTTGGATTGGAGGAATACCACCACTTCCCTTTCTCATTACCAAGATTTGTACAGAGCTTTATGTGATAACAAGGTTCGACTGAATAGTATTGCAAAAACATTTTGTTTGGTGAGAATTTAGTTAGAAGTAAAAAAATCTACACAGTCACTTGTATTGTGGAAATTTCTGTGAATATAACTTTGATGACCTGCTTTTACAACTGTACCTATTACAACTGTACTGAATGATTAAGGAAAATGAAGCTGCGGATACACTAATGATGTTTGAGGAAATTGTAATGGTTATGATTAATTTTGTAATAGTACTGTGTAACAATAACTTCATACTTCAATCAATCAATTTATGTAGTGATGCAGGTTGCAAAAGTGGCAGCTATGAGGCTGATGTGAAGGGCAGGGCCTCTGTACTGTGCTGATTCCTTTCCCACGTTGTACCTCACCCTAGGGATTTCAATCTGTAACTTAATGTTTTTCCTAAACAAATCTTGGTGTAAGGACAATGTTTTTATTTTTATTTTTTTACTCTTAATTAACTTAGCGCAGTTTTACGATAGCTTTGTAGTAAGGTTAGATGTAGATTGAGGAAATGAAGTTCATCAATCGTCATGTCTGTGTGTAGGCTTTGTACGACCCTCTGCTCCCTTTTCCCTTAAATGCCCCCCACCCTCCCAGGCAACCCACGGGCTTTTGACTGTCGTCCATCTCCGGGGTTGGGGAATTTGAACTGGAAATTTCAAGTCATTCCAACGGAATACACATGCTCTATCTTTTGATATGGAGGAGTTAAAAAATAAAGAGTTTACTTTTGCGAGTAGATGGCTTTGGAGAAAGGTCTGTCGCTGATCTTGCATTTTACAATTTGAACACAATTCTGGCCGAAGGGGAGAGAATTTGAACGAACTAATCTTTAAAAGTTCAAATATCCGGGGAGAGTATTTTAAAGCTTCGAACTGATAGACGCATAATCCGCGAAAAAGGTACCCAGCGACGATTTAATCGTGTTCCAGGATGGGGTTAGTTCCTGAAAAAGACTGACCCGGCATGAATACCGCGCCCAAACGGCCATCCAACTGAGATCTCGCCTGCGCTTAGACCAGCGTATATTTGAAACTTATTTACCAGTCGTCGAAGAACTTCAGGTTAGTGCCCTCGATCACAGACTATATAAGCGCGATAAACCACTCTAAGTCAGGTTACCAGAACATCATGACGTAACGAGACTCCATCTTTCTTTCGTTTGAATCCGCAAGTTTTATACCTTAACATCAGGAAAAAAAGGCCGAATTTCTGTTCTTAGGAAAAAGGGCGACGTTTCGAGCGTTTGCCCTTTGTCAGAGCGATTGGAGGAATTGTGGGTTGTGTGTATATATAGATATTTATACAATAAGCTCAGTTATGCACGCATTCTGATTGGTTCTCACTTATGATCTATTGGAGGACAGACGTATAGATGACGTCATCATTAAAACTTAAAATTTTTTATTGTATAAATGTGTCATCAGTGACACGGCTGCGCCTCGTGCGCTACTTTTTTGTTACCACATTTTGACGTCCTCTGTGATCTATTGCTGAACAGAAGCACGGTAACTTGGAATCTATTTGTAGAGCAGAAAATGGAGCTACGCTATTGGTGGATTATGATGTTTGTTATTTACTACAAGGAAATCATCTCACATGGGGGGTGGATCTTCCAATGTGATAGGAGGCACCTCGAATCCTCTCAGCGGGAACTCATCAGGTTTCCTTGTCAAGCGCAAATGAAAGAAGTTCTCTAACTAAATATTTTATTAAATTCCCCTATTGAGGCACTGTTTGATGTTATAATGACGTCAATATAGGAAGATGACTGAGGTGTTTCGCTTGTTGCTGAAGTTATGAGCTAAGTGAGATTTAAGCTTTAGCACAGATCCTTTGGGGCGCCTGATTCTGGTGAGCTCTTCATCGTGTTACAGTTCATGTTACCCACAAGAAAGATTTCCTTCTCATGGGTTAACGCCTGTGAGTACTTGTCCCTGAAATCATCCATAAAACACGTTGTGGGAAAGTCATGTGGTCTGTACGTAGCAGGAGAAAAGATCTCAGTTTGTCACGTTGAACTTGCAGCCATAGCTGGGGAAAGCCTGTATTCAAGATGCCCGTCAGGTCTTTTAACGCTTTTGTTTTCAGTGAGCTGCAAGTGTACACACATACACCGCCTCCTTGTTTCATCAGCCTGTCCAGCCTGGATAATTTGAGTGCGTTCCATTTAATTGAAGTCTTATTAGTTTTCAGACCCCTCTCTGTTGCTCTATCGTATCGTAAAATATCTCCCGCGAAAATTCAAAATGGCGGCTCAGATGTTGATGCTGCACGAGAGTTTAGAATTTTCAATAGACGAAGAAAGTGTGGTAAAGTAGGTACCTACTGCCAGGTAGGGTAACCCTGTCAGCCGGGGTGACAATTTGCCATGTAAACGTGTCAAGGTGGGGTAACCCGCCTAGCCGGGGTCGCGTTCATGGCGAAAAGCTCAAAAGCGAAACATATATGTTTTAAAACTTTGTACATTTCCTACACAAGGAGTGTAAAATGTTCACATTTCGGAATATTTAGAGTCGTAAATTGACCATATTTTGTTTACCAAACTATACCGTATAACGTATTAAGTCAACGGTTTCTCGCGAAACCAAACACCGCGTAATACAACGCGTGACGCTTTCATGAATAATTACATATGTGTCCGAGAATTAATCTTTCGTCTTTTTCGAGATGTGAACTTGGAACGCCTCTGCTCAAACTCCTTAATTGCAAGCGCAACAACAACCTCGAGAAACCTCACCCCAGCACCCCGGGGTTGTAAGATTGCATGTAAACGCGTTTTATTTTTCGACCACGGCTAGGCGGGTTACCTCACCTACCTGGAGTCCCCCACCTCCATGTAAACAGGCCCTAAGTGGGGAAAGCAAGATACAGCTCTTGTACAATTCAAGGGTTTTCAAGCATCGTTTAGGAACGGGTGAGCGTGGAGAAATTTGTAGGCCTGGGAGCCACAGAGTGTTCCATTTGTTACCATTCCCCTTTCTTTTTATAACTGTTATTGGTTTCAGTTTTGTATTAATATTTGGCGCATTTTTCAGTTTTTCCCTTTGCACTGATCTGACTGTGATCACGAGTACTTAAGCGGAAATCGTTGAACTAGATGAAGAGATTCTAAGTGAAAAACTCGGCCTTGAACCCCGTTTCTGTTGCAGCCCAAACGAAAGCGACAATTTATTGCACCTATCGCTAATTATCCTTTTGGAGGATTTAGACTTGAGAGATGCGGATTCAAGGATAGAAGTGCGAAAGATGTTTTTAGTAGAGTGGCAAAGCACATTTGTGACTAAATAAATCCATCTTTGTTTCAAATCCCGGAGATACCCGCCTTTCACATGGGGTACGCTAAAAGATCCGAGAACAAAAAGAGAAACATGGTTATCGATCACGAAGAAGCTAAAATGTGGATGTCATATCTGAATCTTTCCCGATTCAATCAAGCTTCTGAAGGTGAAGAGTCACACGAGCCGACTTCATCCGATGAACAAATGGATATTGACCCACCAACAGCACAAGATACACCAAATCAAGATGACAAGGATTTGGTCTGCCCGCATAATAGCGGACTAAAATTTCCCTTGAAAGGATCACACATTCTTTTGTTTTCGATCCTTCTGATTTTCTTTGACAAGAAGAAAAAGAAGGCAAATTCTACCAGATCGAATGAAGACGAACCAAAGATTGGGGCGAACAAGGTCTCTGATTTCCTACTCTTATGGATTATTCCTTATTTGCTTAGTTATACCCATAAGAAAGTACGAGAGATCGTGAAGCACCATAAAGATCACAACCGTCGCGAGTTTCGGTCAACTTGCAAAAAGTCCAGTTTTGATGTCATCAAGGAAGCAATGTCTACTTGTGGATTTCCAGCTGAACTTAAAACAACCATTGTATCGAAATACAAAGATTTTTATGGAACGGAACAACTAGAATATGAGTACGATTTGCTGAAAAGTCCCGAAAACACGCCAGTGATTTTAGTGCCAAAGCTTTACAAGGTCACGCAAATGCCAGCAAATCTTGACGATATTGGAAACAAATGGCGTGAGCTTGGAGATATAACACTAACTAAACTTTTTGTTTGTAAGTTTATCAAAAGCAGGGAAATTCAAAGAGATGTCTTCTATTCGTTGCCACTCTTGACAAGTCGACAGGGTGTCGATTATGCGATTATCCTGCCTAATGAGGATACATTCCATAAAGTAATAGATGATCTGTCAGAAGGAAGTCATGATTACTTTATCCCTCCGAAAGTTTATCCCAAAGGAGGCTGTGAGATCATCGTGCCAAGTGTTGGGTTGGTTACCACAAGGGAGAAACATCTAAGTGTTTGCTTTTCCTACATTCAAGGTAAGCTCGCAGTTTTTCGTTGCAAACTTTTTACTTTTTTTTTTTTTAAAAGAAAATTGCCCTCACATTAATCTCACATTTGACAGCTAGACTAGCAACACCTGGGCGTCAACTCGTGTGTCACGTGTTGATTGCCTGATGTGAGATTAAACGAATAAGGATATTGACCATACTCTATAAAATCAGAAGTTTCAGTTGGTGTTTATTTTTCACCTTATTGTGTTACTTCAATTCTCTAACTTTTCATCCCAATGGTGACTTTCCATAAAAGCTTACAGGAGGTGAGTAAGTTGTAATGATTTTACGTGTAAAATGTTCATATTTCCAAAAATTTATCATTGTAAATTGACCATATTTCATTCCCCATACTATTCCTTATAACTTGTTTAAATCCTCAATGGTTCCTCACGCAACTTAACACCGAGTTACACAACACATGGCACCTTCATGAATTAATTGTTTTCTTTTTCTCGAAATGTGAGCTCAGGATGCCTGTGGTCATTCAGCCTTCTCAAAATTGTGTTACTGAGTAGGCAAATTTTATTAAAGAGTAAGCTGGGTTGGTATGAAGGGTGCCACCCCCCCCCCTCCCTCTCCAGCTCCTTCCTCTTGATGTTTTTTAAATATGCATCAAGGGGATGCATTGTGGTGCATTCTGAGGTTTTTGGAGGGAAAGCATTTTTTTCATCAACTCACAACATAAACACCACAAATATTTATGGAAATGACCAGAGGATATGCAGAAAATGAGTGGAGTGTTGTTAATATTGCAGAAATGTTTTGTGAAGTTTGGGCTATAATAAAAAAAAAAATTAACATCATCAGTAGTCTTTTAATTTATTTTGCATCTTCATTTCAAAGTGAGGTATTCTTTTTTTTATGAAATTCTGACTCTCCACCCTTTCAAGGCTCATGCTGAAAATTGCATCTGAGCCTCCTGTTATTTGGTTCAACACAGGTCATGAATTCTAGGGTAAGAGCTAGTTGTTTTAACAACAGGGAATCTGATAATGAAATTTGTTGTATTACAAATTTTATTAGATTCCTCCATGGGAGAGAAGAACCCTCTAAATTTTCCTTGCTCCTAATGTGTGGCTTTGTAGCCCAGTTAGTAATGGCACCCAATAGTATCTGGGAAGCACAGGTTTGAATCCTATCAATCCTTAAATTATTTTCAGGCTTCTTTCTGCAATTGCTGAAATTCCAGCTCATGCACCTGCAAGGATCATTGCTCTATTTGATTTTCAATCTGCAGGTCAGATGAAATATATTTTTGAATCAGTACAAATTGATGGTCTATGCTTGATTGCTTGTAGGAAAAGGGGGAGAGAAAGTGGCTGCCTTGTTCAGGGCCATCGGTGCTCATTATCAGGATCACTTTTCTTTGGTAATCTTGCCTGGGTTGTGCAAAAATGAGCGGGACCCTGACTGCAAGGTCGGTGTGAGTGGTATCAGGGAGGTCACTTTTGAAGGCAATTATCCTAAGCTGATCAAGAAAACTTCTTTTTCGGCCAGTCAGGGTAAATTCTGTCTGGCAGAGTTTCCAGTAACATACAAGTTATGGGAACAAGAGGTCAGGAAGAATGATTCAGTAATGAAACTGGTGACAGCAACAAGAAACAGTTTGCGAGTGGACCCCAAGTATGAACGGAATGCACCTCTTGTTGTTGAATACAGCAAGAAATGCCATGAACAGAAGCTGAGGAGAGTGCCATTTGGAGCAACTACTGCAACCAATGACAAACTTGTAAGAAACTACATGTTAAGAGCAGTAAATCTAGATGGATGTTTACTTAGCAACATTGAGAAAAGTGGACATAGAGGTAACATCGCAGTTGTCCTTTACATAGAAGATATCTGTGGAAATTTTGGCAGTTGTTTGCCAAATTTGTCAGAAGCCATGGAAGTCATAATAGCAAATTTTGTTAGGGAAATTGTTTCTGCTGGCCTTCCTAAAGGTGAGAGCTATTTTTTCGTATAATTTCTTCCGTGAATCAGTTAGGCTTTTCCTATTATATATATAGATATGTATGTATGTATATATGTATGTATATATGTATGTATATATGTATGTATGTATGTATATATGTATGTATGTATGTCTGTCTGTCTATCTGTCTGTCTGTCTGTCTGTCTGTATGTGTGTATGTATGTTTATATATAACGTATACTTGCATTCAGTAAAGAGTGATTGGATGGTTCAAGTCTTTTAAATTTTAGTACTAATTAACATGAGCACCCTTCATTTAACAAAGCTGTTGAAAAACTAACATTGAAAAATGTAAAATCAGGGTTAATCCTAGATACTAAGGAAAAGCTTTTGATTCTGATCAATTTGCATTCTATCCTTCTAAATCAGATGACAAAGACAGGGATGAGATTGAAAGTGGTTCTTAGGAGGAGGAGGATGATGAAGAAAGTTCTGAAGATGAACCATCAGCCTCTGGACCCAATCCAGCTGGTTGGTAGAATGCCAAATGTTATTAATATCATTATTAATGATAATAAAATTAATAATATCATTATTACTGTCATGACATCTTCCCTAGCCATAGCTTTGTTGATATGACTTGGGTGTCTGTCATTATAATTACTAATAATTACTATTTTATAATCACAATAATTAGAAATCATTCTAGCTAAGTTGTTATTAGTATTTATATTATAATTATTGTTATTATTCTTATTAATTTTATCATGATCACTGTGTTTGACTTCAGATGAACACAGCAGTCATCAGAGAAGCAAAAGGCTGCAACACTGTCAAATTACATCAAACACTATTTTGATTACATATCAGCCAAGAAAATTTTGAGATTAACTTGCATCTGTAAATGGCATATGAGTAAGACTGACATAGAGCTAGATTTGAATATTGTAGGCTCCTTGCATACTGGGAACATTGTCATCCTTCTACTCCAGTTATTTTATATCTGGATTTGGTCAGGGTAGTTAAAGGGTTGCAAATGAGATCCTGTTGCAGGGGAACTTTGTTAGTTACCTAGAAGGGTTTCACTGCTTCAGTTTGTTGAGAAAGTTAAAGCTTAGCAGATGGTTAACATTAGTTGTAAAATATGATATCCTCGACAGTCTTTCTTTTCTCATTGGAAACATCAGTCTACTTCCAAGACCTAGAGAGAAAACCCTGAGGTAGAACTCGGGTCAACTCCTTGGCATAGCTACAGTGTATTGATAACACATTCATTGTTCCTGGGTTGTCTTTGTAATGTAACTTGTACCTATTTCTCCACAAGTCAGAGGTCTAAGAGTCCATGAAGCAACTCATGTAAGTCTAAAGAGTCAAAAATAGCTTAATATGTATTTTTATTTCATTAAAATTTTCATGCAGTGTTTTGACTTTAAAACATAGTATTACTAATTTCCAAGTATGTTCATTGCGACTCGCAGGTGATGACCAGGAGTTTGCCGACTTTTATGCAAGTCAGCAGCCATCTACAAGTGGATCTGGCAGACCACAGTGTAAGACTAATAATCAGTCTGGGTTCATGATTATCGCATCTATAAAATATTCAAGATTTACTGACGTGCACTCTCATTGGTTGATCGATTGGTGTGTTTAGTTGAAAGTTTGTAAGAAAATTTCTAGTGCAAATATTAGGGCAATGGAGAAAAATTTGCCGCTTTTTAATTTGAGTTTGGGAACCTCTTTTCCCCTTCCTGAGCCCGAGAAACCTCAAGCAAAGAAGTAAATTTCATAAAATGAAATTTTCTCTGGGACATCCACAGCGTAAAAAGCTATTTTCACATTGGCTATGATATTTGTTAACTTTTTAAATTCAAATTAGAATAGCAAAAGTAACTAACCAGCAAAACTTCCCAAGGTACGATGAGCGATTCAACTTCTCAACCACGTCTCGGGCAGCCAAATCGGGCGACGTTTTCTCACTTTCAAAAGCGATTAATCACAGTGACATTCATCTTCAGGTTAAATAAACTCCTCCTCTTGAAGTTCTTTCCTGAAAGAATCTTATATTTTTTAAGCATCCCGGTATTTTTGTGTCAAATTTACGAGGATTCAAGCTGACATCGTTTCATTCACACAGTGAAGGCGCCTGCTACAAATTTCAACTTGGCTTTGATTTGTATAGCGCGAAATTTGATTAGTTTATGTGTTATCAGATGCGCAACTTGATCGGCTAGTAGGAAATACCATCGTCCAGTGTGTGTATTAAGGAAATGTATATCAGTCATGAAGGAAATGACATTTTCCTTCGTTTGTCATGTGAAATATATTTTATAAAAGCAATCCTCGACTGGGTCTCGGGTTTGCATAACTTTCGTAGCTCCTGCCCATCCCCTCGTGTTTAGACGAGGCTATGTAAACATGAAAAAAGTTCTCTATTGCTTTTTATAATTTAAACCGACTAACTGGCCAGTATCCTTACTTTGTTTTCTTTCCACTTATATTTTTGCCTGATACTGGAGTGTTTCCAAAACAACAGCTTTATAACGATCGTTACAACTTGATATTGAACTTATATTTAACCTATGACGTGACCACAAATAGTGCTGTATGCTTTTGTCATGGCTTAATGGCGACTGAGAAATTATCTGAAATTGTTTTACTTGGTTCTCTGTCTTAAGTCCGCTAATGATTGCTCTTTATTTATGCTTCTCATTAACAATTAATTTGTCTTTGTAGTCAAACAAGGTACACCCAGTGACTATGAACTGGAACGTCTTGCCTCAGGGCTTGGTGATGCTTGGAAAAAGCTTGGGCGCCGCTTGAAAATCCAAGATCCAAAGCTTGATGATCTGAACAAATTAAACGAGGATCTCTCCGAAAAGGGATATAAAATGCTCAGGCATTGGAAGGAGGTAAACGGTTCAGCCGCAACTTACGAGATTTTGGGTCATGCCTTATTGCATGGGCTTGTGAATCGGCGAGATTTAGCGGAGGAATTTTGCTATGAGAAACAATAAACGAAAAAAGGGGCCCCTAACGTTACTAACAGATTGTATATTTTGTATGTACTAATTTTAATCTTAATTTAATCTTAATTTTGTGAGTATCTTATTTTGAAGAAAAAATTTTCAGCAGAAGATTACCCCAGAGTCAAATAATTTCTTACTTCCGGAAGTGATCAGCTGACTTGTGAAATAAGTGTATCGCTGCTTTAATATAACTTTTAGATGCTCGTGGAACTACAAAATTATTTGTGTCAGGGCTGTGTTCGATGAAGTAGTACTATTTTTTAGTGGCAAATTTTTTCCAACACCCTGACAGCTTGGTTTACACGTCCACTAAAACAGGAAAAGTTTTTTGCGACTGCTATAGAGAGGTATCATCTTGCAATAGTATTTTTTAAAAAGTGAACGTTACATAAGGTTTCACTCTAAAATAGTTTATGAATAGTTATACAGATCTGTTTTAAAATGTTTCGAAGAAATTATTAATTTTAGATAGTCATCATTTCGTAATAACATTGTAACTGCTGTGTTGTACAAAACATCATCTTTTTATTATTACACAAAATATCACTTTAGCATACTTACCGATAATATTTGTAATCTTAACTTTGTTCACTTCATTTTAGAACACAGTGGTTTCACAAAACCCACGTTTGAGCGTCCTTTTGTGTCTGTGACTGTACAGTAGAATCTCTCTGTCTTTCCCTTCAACCTGATTTCAATCTTTCGGTCCAAGCGGTTATCCGTGGAAGGAATATTTTGCACTGGTACGTTCATGGGGAAATGCGTGAGGCCTTGCTTGATGATTGTGTGACTGCATTCGGAGTAGAAAGGGCGTCCAAAGGTTTTGTCTTGAGGTGTGTTTTCGAAACCTTTCAAATCGAACCTGTAGACCCCTTGATAGCCTGCGTGGCTAGAGGGTTTCTTTTCTCTTTGTTTTGTTTTTTTCAAGGTTTGATGAAAATTACGGTTGCGAAGCCGCGGTCTGGAGGATCGAGGAACTACGTATTTTTTACTGCCCAGACCCCTCGTGGCCTATAGTCCACTCTTCCCTATAAAAACGACATTGTCGGATTGAATGAAGAAAGACCATTTTGATTAAGAAATTATTGTAAAGAAATAAGTGTAGTTACCAGATTTAGGGTTACAGTGCCTTTTACAACTATCGCCTGTCTCATTTTAAGTGAACCCTATAAGTAAGCGGTTGTGCAAGTGCAAACAGTAAAGGAGGAATGTGTTCGAATTCCGTCGAAGCCGTTATTCCTTTCAGGCTTTTTTCAGCAATTGCTTTAACAGCAGCACATCCGCGAGGATCACTGCTGAACTTAATTTTCACCCGCAGGTCAAATGAACTTATTTCAATGAGAATTGTGAAATATTTTGGCGTAGTACATGCAGGAGCTCTTGATACATGTTAAAAAACAGAGACTGTTTCAAAGACATGAAAAAGAAAAAACCCACCGTTATCCCTTAAGATGCTGCAATCACCTTTCTGAGGACTTGAAAATTAAATTTTCTGGGGGAGCATGCCCCACTGTCCTCCTAGGATGGTCTGCCTTCGGCGAACATCTATCCGAACCCTCACTGAATCCTGGACTTTCCCCAAACGCACAAATTGTCAGTAGTTTTCTCAGGTTAAATTTATGTAATTCATGTGAATGATTATCAGGGTACTTTGATAACATTTTAATTCTCAGTTTCGATCAGGTACCACTTTGGAGAGGGTTCATTCATATCTAAGGCATATGTTCTAAAAATTTACCGCCGCTTTTTTGTTATTATTATTATTTTTAATTGATGGCGCTGTGTCTCATGGGATCGATATGCTTAGAATAATAAGCGATTGTTCCGCAGCCTTAGCGACGCCGAAGATCAAGTATTTTCGTGGAGCTGGATTTGCCATCCAATACGCAAACTTTTTACTTCTGAGTGAGGTAAGTAGTCTACTAGCCTTGTAACGTATTCACGATAGTCATGTCTTTTAATTGCCACCTTCACTCTGTTGATTGCGCTAGTCAATGGAATGAACAAGTGTGAATTAATCCAGTCACGCTTCGACGAATTGTTCGACAACAATTAAGATAACAAAAGGCAACAATTCGGTTTGAAAAGTTTTTATCGGCAAGAGAAAGGCTTAAAGTAATTCAGTTCAACCTTTTATGTTGAAATCTGTCGCTCAATTCTCTTTATGCGGCACGATAACCCCTTAGTGCTGGGAATTTCACTTCCGCCTTTGGAAATTGTTTCTTAGATACACAACTGAGGGTGAAATTTAATTTACACTCTAGTAACAGCTTAGGCTTCTTGTGTCTGACGCTTGAATACTTCTAATAACGGTATTTAAGGCACAAAGACATCGATTTGAAGTCAAGACTCGGCAGACGCCGAGGCCACTGGCTTGGATTGCGAGACCGAGAACAAACTATTTACCCCAAACAACAACTAACAATTAGACCGTCGCTAGACTCAGATAATGGCTAAGTACTGTTAAAGACAAGAAAATATTGCGTTATAGTTGAGATGATGTACTCTTTTTCACATTCGTGTTAACGATGTGTCAGCATGTACACTGCAATTTTTTCATTTTTTAAACCACAACGATCATACATCAAAATGTCCTCGTTTACATCTTCACTCTAATAAGTTTCTCCCCTCAGAACGAGGACCCCTGCTGTAAGTAAAAATCCCAGATCAAAAGGAAAAGTGACAATTTGGGGCTCACCACAAAGGCTAACGAGTTCAGATTCAAAAATTGGCGGGCCTACGGTTTTTCAAAGGTTCCTTCAGCCACCCACCAAAGGGAGCCACAACCCTTCAGCTCTAAAGTTTCTTAATTAGCATGAGTGCTCTTGTGGGAATCACATAGAGACCTATGACTTATCTACCACTGCGGTGGAATCATACAAGATTGTGGGTATCTAACAGACAGAGAAAAATTCTTGATTTCTTCACTGTTCTTGTAACAACTGCTTGATTTGACAAAGGATAATAAGGTAGGAAGGAGCAGTGAGTGCTTTTGTATAAAATCATATTCATTTGGAAGCTGCAATGTAAGAATTTTTTTTTTTTTAAATCACTTACACAGACTAACGAGAGGCACCCTTGTAACATGAGCCCTGACCATAGGGTAGCCTGTGATGCTCATTAAAATCTAATCTGAATTGATATTTGTGTTTGACAGGGTAAGTGGTGTTCAAATATGGCCAATGAAGCTGAAAGAGATGCAAGTAATGGTGTCAGACCAAGCCCTAGTGGTTCTGTCATGAGAGTAGAGACAGCTGGAGGGAATAAGATAGAGATTAATGATGTTTGGACAACTAGAATATTGGTGACCGCCGTCTCTGGGACTGGAATTTATGTCGTAAAAAGTTTGGTAACTTTTTTCCGTGAGAATCCAAAATTGGTTACAGATGTAGTAAAATGGGCTTTTAAAGGTTGGGGTGAAGCTACAGTCAAGCCTGGGTCAATTATTGTTGACTTGGATTTTGGATCACAGGAGAAATTTTTAAAGTTTAAAGAAGACTTTAAGGATGGAAAAGTTAAAGATGCATTGGAGAGAGGGTTAGGAGAAATTGGCTACAATTTCAAACTGGAATTAAAACTTGTAAAGGAAAATCCCAATGTGGCTACAGTCGAAATGAGGTAAATGAGTTATTTTTATTTGATAGCTGACATGTATTGGTCTGTTAGTCAGGTGACTGGTTAGGCCTTCCCTTTATACCTTAGCAGGCAATCATTTTAGCAGGCAGTCACATTAACTTCTTTATTCATACCAGTTTAATCTTTTACCTTAATTTAGTACACCCTGAAATCAATGTGCATATTCTCCATACTGTTCTCTGTACATTTCCCAAAGTGGAGACAAGGAGAATTTGTTTAACAATCGAGAGCTTCTTTAGTTGTTGATCATTTCCTTTGTTCTCCTAACCTTAATGTGTGGTTTAGGGGTGATATTGTAAGAAGAAGTTAAATGCTAGATTAAATCACTCTTGAGGACCCCATGATTAATATTTTGATCTGTTGACGACACTGTGAGGATTGTTTTATTTGCCTTGATGTCTTCACCCTGTAGTACAAATGCATTACAGATCTCTATCAATTCTTTTAGATATACTCAGGACCTTTTGCAGGAAAGTTTTGCTCTTGCGTGGTGACCAGCTAGCTCCCACTGTTGGCTAAGAACACATTTTTGTTTCAAGCTCTCAATGAAAATCCAAGAAGTTATGTGACTAGCCACTAATCTCTTGCAAAAATACAAATTTCTCAGGATCAAAATGGAAGTTTAATTGTTCAATTTATGTGGATTTTTTTGTTTAAAATGTCATATTCTCATGCGAGATTCAGTATACTTTAAGAGTTCTTGTTAGCTGTGTTGTTTTATTTTATTTGTTAGTGTTGACATTTATCCATCATCACAATGCATTGACCTCCAGTGTTAGCAAAAAGAAAAAAATACTTACTTAATAGGTAAGAGCTATATTTTTTTTTGTACATGGTTTTCATACAGTACAATGAAATTTTGCATTTTCAGCAAAGAAACTGTGATACGAGAGACCAAGAAAGTTTCATTTGCATATTCCAATCCTAGAGTTGTGTCCCATGGAGAAAGGAAAGAAGAAAAAGAGAGTGATCAGAAAGCCGGTGAGACATATGCTCTGTGAATGTTTATAGACCTTTATATAATACAATATCTCAAAAACATACACTACTGCATGATCTAATAGCCTCCAAATTCAGAGAAAGTACAAACTAAGTTGCTAGTCTGTATATAACCATGGATTTTTGTTTTGTAAAGGTGAACACATAACTTGGAATTGTTTAGAATACAGTCATGTACCTACAAATTGGTCTCTCATTCCCACCTTTTCCCTCTCAAACTTAACAAATTTTAATCTTGCATGGACATTTAATTACCAAACCAAGTATTGCAAGAGGCTGTGTTAATGTCACTGCAAGAGTCACTTATATTTAAAAATAAAATTTGTAAAAGCAATTCTGACTATGAAAGGTTCTTCTTTTGACAGAAGTAAAAGAGAATCCAGAAGGGACAGACAACCCAGCTAAAGAAGACATTCAGTCACCCTCTCAAAAGCGTAAAGAAGGTACCAGAGACTTTTCATTTGCCAATTTTTGTTTCCTGGAAACAGAGAAAAGGTTTAAGTCAATGTAATTGTGAAATAAGTTGTCAAAAGAGAATCATTCTTGAACAGTATAGTGCTTAAAGGCCTTCTTAATTTTAATAGCTCTGTTAATATTTGAACATATTTATCTCAGAATCAACTGGATATAGTTATAGTAAGGTTGTATGAACCTGAAACAGGCATGTCTCTTTTAATTGTAATAGTTTGTGTGAAGAACTATAAGATGTTAGCTATTATATAAATAATAAGTTTGGACTATAAAGTAATAAACAAAAATCAACATTTTAACAAATCATTATATTGATGGTAATCATGCTAATGGAGAATACAAATAACTTAGGCCACCACTTAAGAGTGTTAGAGAAAATACATTGCCACTGACTAGAAGAGCCTGCTGTTTTTTAACTAATGGCAGTTATTGGGTAAATTTTATTTCACTAGATCAAAATGAACCACTTATTGTCTAAGCTTGCAATACCAGGATCCATATCTTAGCCTGAAGAACAGGAGTAAATTCTTTTGCCTTTTTCAGTAGAATTGAGGCAAGCATGAGGCAGGCATGAAGTCAAGGGGAGGAGTTATTATTTGCACTCCTACCCCGTGCATGACTTATCTTCATTTGCCTGAAAAACGCAACAAATTATTCCTGTTCTGCAGGCTAGATCTCTTTGACCTAAGTTCTTCAGAAAAACCAGTTAGCAGGAGGAAATGCAAGCACAAAAAATATCACATTTTTACCCTAACCTTTTCATCTCTCTTACTCACATACTAGCTTCTGGCTCCACTGAAGTTAAGCAAGAGGAGGAAAGTGGCTCAGCTGCAAAAAAACCTAAAATTGATCCTATTGGAGAACCTGGAACTTCTGGGGTATCCAGCACTAGTAAGACAAGGAAGTTTAAGGGTAAGGACAAAAGGAAAGTTACATTTTCAGTTGATAAAATTTCTTTACAGACTTGAAGAACCTTAAATCTCTCTCCCAAAATGGATTTTTTTTTGTGATAAATTGTTACTGACTCACAATCAGTTATACCCCCACTAGCTGCCATAATGTAAATCAACTCTGATCAGTTTTATTCAACATATTATACCTGATAATATGGGTAATGAGTATGTGGATATGTATTTGTACGCTTTTGAAATTGACCAGTCTTCCCCAACAGGGCTCGATCACCTCAGGATAAATACAAACAATCTGGTCCCAAACATTGTAAATAAACACAGGGTGTAAAAACCCCAACTGGCAGGAGGCAGGCAGCAGTTAGCTATATACAAAGAACAGCCAAGGAGTTGAACTCAGGGAACCATTAAGAACAATCCATTGAGTGGCAGGCTGAAGGGCTTGTTCTCAGGACCACCAGACTAACCACTTGGCCACCCTGCTTCCACAACATCTGATAGAAAATCTTCAGCATGACAGAAAAAAGCCTTTGCTCTTCTCTCCCCCCCCCCTCCTCTGAAAAAGATTACTTGCAATGAATGATTTCAAAATTGTTACTGAGTCACAGTAAGTAACAAGTAAGCTGGTAATCTTAAAATAATTATCTTTCCATTTGTTTTTATATTCAAGAGGGAGTAGTAACTGATGATGACCTTCAAACACTTGGCAAGAAATTGCTGACAAATGGGATGAACTGGCACGTCGACTTAAAATTACGAGAGCAGACATAGTAATAATTGATCACGATTTTAAGTCTTTGTCTAAGAAGGGATATCAAATACTGCATCTGTGGAAATCAAAAAATGGGGAAGATGCAGACTATAAAACTTTGTATGATGCATTAGCCCACAATTTGGTACAGCGGAGAGACTTAGCACAAGAATATTGTTTTGAATAATATCTCTTTGATGTTACTCATATCAAAACCTGGGAGTTAGTTTAAAACAGACGGCCACTAGGTGGAAAGTATAGATAACTTTGCTGGTTACCAAGAAATTCCAGTTGGCTATTAATTTTAAGAATCTAGTGATTATTTTAACCTTGATTTACGGCCTTTTATTGATAGCCTTTTTAAAACATTTTTGGTGTGTTAATAATGGTAATTGGAATAAGTGGAGTGGAATTTTGGCTGCAATCATATGCATGATTTCAAAATTGAACCAATGTGAGTTCAATTTGAAATCAAAAGTATGATTTCAGACCAAAATTGCTCGACATGAGGTCAAATACCACTTTATTACATCCATTTAAAAATCGCCCAAAAACTGGACTTGGTCAGTTCTTATATTTTATTGATGCAGTACTGAGCTGATTTGAAATTAAATTCATCCATTTTCTGGGGGAAAAATAAGAGTTTTGGAAAGTTTTGTTTTTTGTGTGACCTGCTCATTGGCTGGGAAAAGATGCGATTTAAAGCAAAAAATGGTGCAATTTGTGAATAAATTGTACCAATTAGAGCCAATAAGATTACAAAGAACACTAGTGATTTCAAAATGGGTGTAATAAAGCTGAATATTGCACACGCATTTGATTAGATCTATTGGAGGACAGACTCATATATAAGGTAGAGTATTTCAGATAAACTAAGCAGTCTAAGTTTTTTAATATAGGCCACTATATATAGTTTTTAAAAATAAAACAGAACTGCTTGTTTGGAGCATTTTTGCTAGTGATTAAGTTAGCGTTTTTGGATCCGCGTTTTTCATGATTGAGGAACGCAACACGTGCAGTCGTTCGTCATTGGTAATCACAACCTTAATTTGTTTCAGTACAAATCGGGCATGATAATAATGTTATTTTCCATGGTAGTATCATAGTTAACAAGTGTCTGCTTAGCAGCTTTCCTGTATGAAATGTAATGGAATATTTACCCGGTTATGAAATACATGGAGTGTATTCACTTTGAACGTTCAAGGTGTGGTGTTCCAAAACGTGTTTATGCACCTTACTTTATCACGCCTGGTCTAGGCAAAATCGACCTTGGACCTTGGGCCTTGACCCTCTGCCTCTTCCGCGGCCGTTTTTGATCATGACATCAAAAAATGCTTGTGGAAACACAGGTATCCCAAGCTCACACTTCGACAAAAAAAGCAAACTATTTATTACTCGGGCTGTCCAGAGGAAACGCCTGAGTTCAAATTCCAGCCTCGTTTCTTTTTCGTTCGGTCGCAAATCGCAGCCAAGTCCTTATCACGCATGCGCTACCTTTTGACTCTCACGCATGTGCGACGTTTTGACTAATGAGCACACGGCATGGTCTAATAGCGGACGAAGAGAAGCTTTCGCAGAGCAAAATCAGCACAGAGACTGTGTATAATACGCTCAAAACGCATACAAAATTTGCACACATCGTTTGCGGTAGACCCACACTAAAAGATGTCGAGCGTTTTCGGAACGGGTCGGTCCACGAACCTTATGAGAGATCTCTTTATGAACGAGCATTAATAAGTGAACCTTTCATCGAGAAACAGGCTTTATCACATAAACTGCGGCCCTGAGAAAAGCCGTATCAACACACTTGAAAAAATTTTTAAAAATTTTTTTTTTTTTTAATTAGGTGTGTTGATAAAGCCAATCAGCTGCTTACACGTCATACGCCTTTGGCGCCACTCAGTCAGATTGATGAATGAACGACATAGCCTTCACGATTCTCAATAGAAGTTGTTTGTCAGAGCTTTCTCGAATTATAGCGGCTGAAACACTAAAAAATCCGTATCACCGGTTCAAACTTGTCGAGAAGGGGAAGAAAACCAATATACCAAAAGAAAAACCGAAAGTTGCGTATTCGGTGGCTTTGGTGTTAGCATTTCTCTCGGCTGTGAATGAAAATCGACAACTAGAAGATTGGTCCCAGCCGATTTTGGCCGTTTATCTGAAAGACTTCTGCTGTTGTTAAGGACAAAGTAAATAAATAAGAATTTTGTAAATTGAAAATTACGACCATTGTTGTTTTTGTAATCATGATTCAACGCATATTTCCATCTTAAGAGTTGGCGCCAACGCACTCTGCGATTGTTATTCGAGGATTGTCCATTCATTTATTTTCATTTATTAATGAAGTCGGCTTTTCTTCCCAGTTGAGGGCCATTGTGTTTATATGATAAACAAAATAGGACATGGTTGCTTGTAGATATAGAATTTCTTCTTCTTCAACTTCAACTCGTCATCTCACTCATGAGCTATCGAGTTAAACACTGGAAGATAAATTCCATATCTAAGCGCGTCCATGTATTATTCTCTATTTATCAATTGAACTAATGTTAATCGAGAGAATAGACGCAAATCTCATCGTGTTTGTAGACGTGATCGTGAACCAAGCAGAATACCAATACGAAGTTTGAAAAGGTTGAGGAACAAGAGCAGAAAGGTTAGAAAATTTGACTACGCATGTATTCTCTCATGTATTCCCTTGTCATCTACATTGTACTGTTATGTTAGTGCTAAAAACTACTAAATAAGAGGATATTTAAGTGTAACTGTCGTGAAAAAGAATTCGTCAAAGTATAGGAAAGGTAAAATATCGTGCCAGTCGATATTTAACATTGTTTTCTTGTAACAAACTGATGTTTTCTTGCAAGAGTGAGGCTTATGTAGCAAATTATTGCTGCAGCAACTATAAATTAAGTGGAGACATAGAAAAAAATCCTGGCCCTCCCACATATGTTTACCTTAACAAAACAGTAATGTTGTGTTGCAATGAGTGTGTTCTTTGATTTACAATAGCACACAAGGGATCAGCTCTGCAAATGATCTTATTCAAATAATGAATATTGGAAATCAGCTTTTTTTCATGTTTGTTACAATTAGCTAGACAGGCATATTTAATGCAGTCAGAATTACCAACAGCATTAAATGTGTTTGATACTGATTATCTGGAATACAGTGAAAGCTACTCTGGTACTGTTCACCAAGAAATTGCTATAGAGGGATATCAGTACTGTGTGTCTTTACGAAGAGCCTTTGAGTTGCTCATATCTGAAAGCTACACCAATTTCATTTTAACAGTAGGGTGTATTGCTGTTGCAACCTATTGTAATCTTTTAGGTGACCATACAAAATACTGATGATAAGGAATTCAGCTTAAAAATGGGAGAAGAAATTCTCTCAAAATTGTTTGATAGACCAGACGTTTTAACATTAGATGAAGATACATTGACAGAACATTTGCTATTTATCAATGATGTAAAATTAACGTACGAAAAACACACTTTCTTAGTAACAAGTATCTGTTAGTTTGTCGCACATTTGTCTAAGTGATGAATTGTGCACTTTGACTACTCTCCTTTCATGTTAAGTTTCTGTTACAGTTGTCAGTTTTTATAAGATGTGAACATGATTCACAAATATAATTTGAACTTTGACAAACTACTGATTCCTTACAAACAAATTTAATTGTTCTTGTTGGACAACAATTTCTACTACTATACCCTTGAAATATTATGATCGTAATCAGTAGATATAAAGTCATATAAAAAATATTAAAAACTATTTTAATCTTACAATATGCCTTTTTCCTCACTGCATATATACAGAATGAAAATATTTAGATAATTTTCATATGCAAATGAAAATTTGCAATTACTGTAGTTGGTAGACTCTAATTTTTTTGTTCATTATCAACTGCTACAAACTAAATAGTCATTTTTCATTCAAAGGCAAATGAAAATATTGGTTTTGATTAGAGTGATTTTAATAAGCCTGGGTTCTGCTGATTAATTACATTAATGTTTTAAGATGCTCAATGCTTTTTGAACTTTTTGTTTCTTTACATCTATTAGAGTGATATTCAATCGCTCATGAAATAAAGAAATGACTATTTAGTTTGTAGTAGTCAATAAAGAACAAAAGAATACAAAAAATTCACAGTACACCACTAACTATTAATCACCCTATTCTTTCACGGAAAATGAAAATTACTCTAAACAGTAACAGTTGATTAGTACTCACCAGGTTTGGTGAAACCAATCTAACCAATAAACCAAAATTAGCAACTAAAGCATACTAGCTCAGTAACTCCAAATGGAAACAAACAAATTGGGAGGTAATAATACAAAATATGCTAAAGTATATTTCACACTTTCATGAGAACTATCCCAACAACCCCATAACATTAATAGTTCATCTGGTAATAAACTTTGGTAGCGACTTTTTGTTTTCTTTTGGTTAAGTGTCATCACCCTAGCACTTGGGGCTGTTCATAATTAAAAGCTATCTTTGCCTGAAACTTTTGTCAACCAAGAAAAAGAAAACATAAGAAGACAGCCTGTTTGGCAAAAGACTTACCCTGCTACAACCCTTAACCCGCAAAACAAAATTTAATCAAGTCACTACTTAAAAAAAAATGAAAATAGTGTCTAGTAGTAAGCATTGAAATAGTAGCCAATTATATATGGCACTACCTCCCCCCACCCCACCCCAGAAAAGGGTCTTCACACTACATAACAAATACTGTTTTCAGCTCTGTATACATATGTGAGAAACCTGCATCTCTGGCATACCAAGAGAAAAAACAGTTACAGGATAAACCCAGAATTGCATTAAAAAAACTTAAGCAAATGCAAGCAGGAAAAAACGAAGTTTATTCCCAACAGAAAGCCTGGGTGAACACAAATATGCGTCTAGTTTATTAAAGTGTTACGCGCTGTGTGACGATACAATAACTGGCTGATGAAATGATACTTTCCTCTCGCTTGCCTTCGTCCATGGCGGCAGTACAAAACACTCCTCAGCCGTGAGTGACTACATAAAGTTTTGGGGCAAACAAAAAAAACTTCCAGTGGGGCCTGCGCTCCATTATGTCACGCAAACTCTATTTTGAGGTACTTTGGTATTATCAACTAAGTTGATGGCGTAAATTGGTCACCGTTAAAATTTTTCAAAGCTGACGTTTCGAGCGTTAGCCCTTCCTCAGAGCGAAATGTTCCTCCGTTATTCGCTTTGATGTTTAACACTCGAAACGTCAGCTTTGAAAATCTCAGCGGTAGCCAATTTACAGTCTCTCAGTTAATAATACCTAATTACCTTTCTATACCTTCCCATCACGCAGCACCACAGTTTCTTCAGAAATTTCCCCCTTCATTCATTATGCTTTATTTTACCTTGTCCTAATAACAATTAACATATTATATTTTTGATCTTAATTGATTGATTTCTTTTTCAAAACTTTTTTGTTCGATCCTTGGTCCGTTCCGATCTTGATGTGGTCGACGCCGCTCACTTGGAGAGGTTTAAGCCATTTAGGATCTTTAGATAATAGTTAACTGACAACTGACAAATGGCCCCAAGTCTAACAGACAACTGACAAATGGCCCAAAATTTAACTGACATATAGATAAAATTTTAACTGACAAGTGACATTTCCGCCTCTGCCCCCCCTCCATCCAGACCCTCATAGTTTCATCAATGGGCTTTTATCTCAAAATTCATCCATCCCTATGACAATGCATACCCACGAACTGTCACCCACCCTGAGCTCAAGTAATGTGAACCTACAGCGATTTGGGTACGGCGGAATTCGTACAACATCTAACCCAAGGACTCTTAATTGGCGGCCTTTAACTCCGTCCCTTTTGGCACAAACCTCGAACCATTCACATCTCCGTTCCTTTATACACGAACCTCGAATAAGGTAAATGAGTGTGACTAGCCAGCACTGTCCGGTATGGGGAGCCATTTGCGTTCCCCATACCGGACATGTCCGTATGGGTGTTGAATTTTGCGATGTCGAGGCATTTACAGTAAAATAACAGCATTTTACTATCAGTAGATTTGTTCGGATGGGATCACCCACTGACCTACCTTGGAAACAACTTATATGAAGAATGCCAAGTAATCTCATGAGATTCAAAGGAACAAATTCTAAAGCGTGATTGGTAAAGGTTTTTGTTCAAAACTAGGTCAAAATGTTGGGTTAAGAAGGCGTCGAGCTTCCATTCCCATACAAATGCCATGGCAGATCGTCCAACTGTGCGAAATAACTTGATATTAACAACCATTTTGCTGAAGATTATATGGTGGATAAAGCAGCAGAACTAAGAACGACCCAGATATCCTTAAATTCGCCCAGAAAACTCCCAAGGTGCAATCGACCAACCATAGAAGTATGGCAATTTTGTTTTTATACAAAACCAGGAGTCCATTAATAATGGTAATGGGCTCCTGACAAAAATAAAATTTTTAAGTGAAGGATGCGACCTTTTTTTCCCCCATTCTTGAACCATAGCGCAATATTAAAAATGTTTGTATATCTTTGGAGGCTCATCGTGTAAGGCTGGGCTACCTTTGATTTAACAGAATGACACTTGGTCACTTTACTGTTTATTACACCCATTTTGAAATCCCTGGTTGTCCTTGTAATCTGATTAGCTCTAATTGGTGCGATTTATTCACGAATCGCACCATTTTTTGCTTTAAATTGCATCTTTTTCCATGCTAATGAGGAGGCTTCACTAAAAACAAAACAACCAATCAGATTTCAAGGCTTGTTTAAAGTAACCAATCAAATTGCAGGAAAATGATAGACAAAGCGTATCGTGAGGCAAATTTTGCTACTTATGTTTCCAAAACTTTTATTTTTTCCCCCCCAAAAATGGATGAATTTAATTTCAAACGGGCTCAGTACTGCATAAATAAAATATAAGAACTGACCAAGTCCTGTATTTGGGCGATTTCAAAATAGATGTAATAAAGCGGAACCTCGTGTCCTGCAATTTTGGTCTAAAATTATACTTGTGATTTCAAATCACGCATATGGTTTCAGGCCAAATTGCACTCCACTCAGTTCAATTACCATCATTTACTAGCTTCCTTCAGCTGAGCATTGCAACGCGTGCACAAAAGCTTTTTCGGAAGACACCCGTGAAAGTTTGGAGGAACATTAAAAAAACACTGTGGTATTGTCTCACTTCCACAACCGGAGATGGCGAGATTTAAACAATAATATGCGAGGAGGCCCCATATTTAGCGCTGCAGCACGAGCGTGCCTTCGCCCGCGAGAAAGTTTGAGGATTTTAGCAATACGGGGCGGCGGGAAGTTTTAGAGGGGTCTGGCATGAATAATTTGCCAGGAGAGGGAATGGTGAAAAGTTGTTTCCACACCGTTGGGCACCGTTGCATTTTGGCGCTCAAAGTATCACTTTACGTCTCTCTCTCTCTCTCTTCTTAGCATGGATGAGTTACGGCTCTTTCCTCGACACTGAGGTCTTCAGGGTAAGTGTTATGCCCACCAAATTTCTATTGTGATAATTTTACGTTTTTTTTTCTCGCAATTGTTATTTCTTATCCCTCTTGAAAACTGCGCAGTGAAACGTTGCATTCCACGTGCTCGATTTCAATGCCTAATTATTTGTGTTTGGTAAAATTTGTGCACAGCCTCATACTATTGTAAAACAAATCTGTTTTCCCAATGGCAATGTATTGTTTTTGTCATTGTTTTCTCTATCCAAGAACTGATTGCATAATGTAGTATGGGGCTGTGCGGAAATTTTACCTTTGTGTTTATCAGATTGTTTATCTAACGTTTTTTCAAAGTACTTCATATTAGCGGTTCTACATTTTAAATGTAGATATGTCAATAAGCGATTTCTAGCAAGAAGGATGTAGCGCCTTGAAGGGCAAGATTTCCGCACAGCCCACTGATTCTGCGTTTGTCCACAAAGTTCTTGCATAACGGAAACGCACTGGCAAAAATAGTAGATTGCCTTTGGAACTCCTTTACGGCTTTGTTTCAGAATATTCTGGGGCTATGCAAAAATCTTTCCTCTTTTCGTACAAACGCTAAGGAGAGATGTTGTCTTCGAGCATATTCTACGTCAAAATTGCTTTGCCAGCGTTATAACTAACGGTTCGGCTTAACTATTGTGTTAATCCAAGTGAATGATCAATTTTCAGTCCCCTGGGTTAAAGCCCACCTGTGTTAGCTAAGAGATTGTCTGTTATATCAGCTAACTTCTAACATCTGTTATATCAGCTAACGTTATGTCCTGGCAATTACTGTGGGAATTGCAAAGGTGAGACTTAATGAAATTTACCTCAACTCAGCTAGGATCCTTGAAAAGAATTTGCCTGGGATTGTGAGGCTATTTCATGTATATCTGACCTTCAAAATGCTCTTACTGGAAGAAGTTTCCATTTATTGAAACAATCTTTCCCTTTCACTGATTAAATTGTTTTAAATCACATACACATTGTAAAACTCAGGCTAGACATACAATGTTATAGTCTACTGACCAAAAACTACTCTTTTTCATTATAAATATGTGCATGAGTAATGATAATAATAATAATAATAATAATAATAATAATAATAATAATAATAATAATAATAATAATAATAATAATAATAACAATAACAATCAAAACTATAACAAAATTCTCAAACATGGTTGGTTAGCACCAGTCCTATTTGAGTACCAATAGGTCATGCCTGTGTTTGTGTCACATGTGTGCTGTTGTTGCACTTTTTGCTAAGTTATCTGTTGTTTTCTATGAAAAGGTATAACCAAGGGCTAGTTTGTTTCTAGAATGTTGTCATAGTTTTGATTAATTGGTAACAGGACTTCAAGCTGTCCAATTCTGTCTCTAATCATACTTGTGATTAACAAATTTGTCATTCACTTCAAATTCGTCATGGATTTTTTGGTATCACTTTCACAACTAGACTTCATCAGACCCCACTCAGTCCTATCATCATTATACTTATAATGATAACCAAAGTGATAACAATAATGATGAGATACTTGAGGTTAAGTGAATTTTCTACAGATGTTCCATGTGTTCCCTCGATGAAATGAGTAAAATCTTAGGAACTTTTTAGTTGTAAATATATAGAACTAAATTTGTGAATGATGGTGTAAGAAAGAATTTGTTTTTAGATCATGTTTTAAAATGTAACTTAATTTATTTACTTGAATAAGCACCTCCCCCCTGAATATGTGCAGCACTTATTCTATTAATTTTTTCTGTCATGAGCTGCAATGACTCATGCACATTCTGATATCTTAAGGCAATTAGAAGCAAATCGTCTTGATTTGGAAAGTGACAACAGGCTGACTGCTCCTCGAAAAAGACGGAGAGGTATGTAAATGTATGTGCATTGTTATAAAGCCTGGAACTTTTGTAGTAGGGTTAATCTGTGGGTTTCTTGTTAGTTTTCACAAGCAACAGTTTGAATCTCAGTTGGAGGTGTATGTTTGGACCTTGTGACAAACAAAATTTAAAAAATTTTCTAGATTTAGTTGTACTTGTGAATGTGGAGACAACAATTATTTTGATCAAATTTTTGTAAGATTTCCTGTAAGAAAAAACCTAAATTATGCCTCACAGAGTTGTAAATGTATAACTGATCATTTTCCTAAACTAATGGGGCTAAAAGAAGTTTTGAAGAGTTAACCCTTTAACTCCCAGATCAAATTTGTAATTCTTCTTACTGTCAGTAATACAATTCTTATAATGTCACTTCAGAGAATTAAGTATTGGATCAACTAATTATCTCCAAATTGATTTTTTCTTTCATTCTCATCAATTATTTGGTTGATATTGTATTGATAATGTAAGGAGAAATTCTGTCTTGGTCACTCATGGGAGTTAAAGGGTTAACACTTAAGGCTAGATAATCTGACTGGTAATCCTTCACATAAATAAATAGTAGTCAGGACCATGTAAGGGTCTCATTTATCAGCCATTTTACTGGTGTTGTGTCCTACTTCCTCTTTGTCAAAGATTTGTCAAATACTCTCTCATGTGGTCAAATCAAACTAGTCTGAATTTGTTCTGACCCAAAATTACTACTGTATTACTACATTCACTTTTTATCTGAAAGTTTAGTTTCTTTTGTACTTAGTGGGTCTGGAATCTAGTGATTCCGAGAGCTCAAGTCCAGAGACAGATGACTCAGTTTCCAGATCTGATGGGAGCTCAGACACAAACACAGACAGTTACACAGAGGAAGAGGACTTTGGTCTTATAGAGGAGAAACCTATTCTAGCCAAACAAAAAGGTAGAGCTGTGTATATTTACATATATATAATGTACATGTTGCTTACAAAGGCATGTCATCACAATCAGTTTGTTTAAGCATGCTTCACAATCCAATCATTCTTTAACTACACTCAAAGGCATTATGAAAGCAAAAAATTAATGCCAATTTGCTTTAATATTTTTTAATTCTGGGAGAGTTTTGGTGTAACCTTTGTTGTAGATTTCTGAGTTTAAAATGTCATTGAAATTAATACTAAATGCATCTTTTACGTCAAAAGGGTTTTGTTGCTGGCTAAGTCTATTTAAGAGTAAAAGACCTATATACAATGAAAACTAATGAAAAAGCTCAATTATGGTACCAGAGACACATAATTTGCCTCCTAAATTTCACCTGAACCTTTTGAAATAACTTTTGTAATTCACTCCAAAGTATGAATTATTTGTTTATCAAGAGTCAGTTAGAGTCTGTTACAGTTCCTAAGGGCTGTAGATAAAAACTTCACTATTTTGGAAATTTAGCCTGAAGGTAGAAGAAGAAAAAACTGGTGTAAGGCTAAGTGCATGTTTGTGCTACATGTACACATAACTACCTGCTCTCTTGCACCAAGACCCATGTGAAAGATATGCTCTTAGAACTCTGATATATGCTCTCAAAAGCTTTCAAAAAGCAAGTTTTACATTAATTGTACAATGACATAAATAAGTTGCCTCACCTCTGGTACCAGGGCTCTATAAGAACATGGTCATGCTTTTGTGGGTAGTTAATGCATAGTGCTAATTTCCAGATTTTATTTCAGAATTAACTTCCAATTTAATCATAAAGTACTTTGAATAGTCAATTTTGCATGTGCACAATTAGATGCCATTTTACAAGAATGTGGCTGAGAGTGCCTTTCTCAGTAATAATTTGTTATACTAACCTTGCTAGGTCTCTTGTCTCTTTTGTAACAAAGTTAACCTTAGCTTTTACCCTCAAACAACTCTGAAATGGACTATTCTCAAACACAACGAACCTTACAAGTCCATTAGTTTTCTTTTTTAAGTATGTGAGACATTGTAAGCACTGAACTCTTGTGAACCTTATCTATTCAAGTTTCCAAGAACACCAAAAAGCAGACTGCTAAAGCTTCCAACACAACAAATAAAATGGAGAAGAATGAAAAAGGTAACAATTTTTGTGACATCGTTTATGGCTTGTTCCAGGCTCAGATGGTCATTGCATGTGGGTTCATGAAGAAGTAATTGCAGTTTTAAGACGGAACACCAACTGACTTACCTCAGTATAATAGCACATATTCAAATTATCAGTGCATGCATGCCTGTTCTTGGCTTTGTCTTACATTATGAAGCAAAAGTATTTTGGAGTTACGACATTTGAATAACAAGCACAATGTTGCCATTCTTGTGTGAAGAGCTCATTACAAAAAAGTCACAGAGGTAATATCATTGGTAATGAGAGAAACAGTTTCTTTAGTTATGTGTAGTTTCTGTTTTTGTGTGTGTGTGTGTGTTTTTTTTTTACCTAGTTTGATGTTGTGTTTTTATATTCAGCTATGTGCCATTATTTAATTATGCTGGACTATTTTTTAAGGTGCATCTGAGGAAATTCCGGCTAAAAAACCAAGGAAAAGAAAGATTAGCAAGGAGAATACAGGGAAAGGTAACTTATTTATAAAGATCAGCACTATTAGATAACTTCAAGTCAGATTAAATCCTTGTATAGGACTTTGTCTATAATGGTAATTGAACTGAGTGGAGTGCAATTTGGGCTGAAATAATACGTGTGATTTCAAAATCAATTGAGCGCATAGCACGAGTTCAAATTGAAATCACAAGTATGATTTCCAACCAAAATTGCACGACACAAGGTTCAATTACCATTTTATTGCATCCATTTTGAAATCACCCAAATACAGGACTTGGTCACTTAAAATATTTTATTGATGCAGTACTGAGCCAGTTTGAAATTAAATTTATCCATTTTGGGGGGGGTGGGGGGGGAGTAAGAGTTTTGGAAACAAAAGTAGCAAAATTTGCCATACAGTACTCTTTGTCTATCATTTTCTTGCAATTTTATTGGTTACTTTAAACAAGCCTTGAAATCTGATTGGTTGTTTTGTTTTTAGTGTGGCCTGCTCATTGGCTGGGAAAAAGATGTGATTTAAAGCAAAAAATGGTGTGATTCATGAATAAATTGCACCAATTAGAGCCAATCAGATTACAGGCACCACCAGTGATTTCAAAATGGGTGTAATAATATTTAATAATGTTGCTTCCAGATTCCTAAAAAATGCAAATGGGGGTAGTTGTAAGACAGGAGCTAATGGTCAACAAGTTGTCAACAGCATATAGGAGATATCTTTAGCAGGCATGTTTTGCTGACTTACATTGCATTATATTAGAGATGAAGTTTTACACAAAATTGATAGGGAGAATAAATTCTGCATCATTTTAGGAGATTTTAATCTTGATATTCTTAAACTGGATTCTCACCCAGATACAGAAGGTTTTTTAAATATTTTGGGGTCCTTCAGCTTTCAACCTCATATTTTACAACCTACTTGAATTACTGACCACTCGAAAAATCTAATTGACAACATTTTCTTCAATTCTTGGAAGTGGGAATATTGTTTATGATGTTACTGATCACCTACCTAATTTTCTTATTATTCAAAAATTCACTTCTTTACCTATCAATGTAAAAAATTGCAAGCAGTTTGGTTACTTGGTTGAGTGCTAACAAACTTTCACTTAATATTGATTAGTCGAACTTTGTCATTTTCCACCCTCCACAAAGAAAGTTACCCTTTCATGTCACACTCTCTTTAAATGACATTTACTCAAACCAAGAGTACTCAATAAACATCTAGGTATTATAATAGATTCTAATTTATCTTGGAAAAGTCAAGTAAGCTATATTTCTGAAAAGATTAAGACATTGTAAGCACTGAACTCTTGTAAACCTTATCTATTCAAGTTTCCAAGAACACCACCACCAAAAAGCAGACTGCTAAAGCTTCCAATACAACAAATAAAAAGGAGAAGAATAAAAAAGGTAAAAACTTTTGACACATCACTTAGGGCTTGTCTCAGGCTCAGTGGAAACAAAAGGAGAGCACTGAAGGCCGCTATTTGTATATTTACTTTCTCTATGCACTGACCTTTCCTAGGTCCTAGTTTGTTACTTTTTTAAGAAATAATGGTCATTAATTGATTTAATACTTCAGTGGAATAAATCTTGAGATGAGTGATTTTCTTTATTCATTGCATGTGGGTTCATGAAGAAATAAAGCAATTGCAGTTTTAAGATGGAACACCAACTGACTTAGTTCAGTAATAGCATGTTGTCAAATTATTAGTGCATGCATGCCTGTTCTTGGTTTTGTTCTTCATTATAAAGGAAAAGTTTGTTGGAGGTATGACATTTGAATAACAAGCACAATGTTGCCATTCTTGTGTGAAGAGTTCATTGAAAAATCACGGAGATAATAATATTATTATTGAAAATGAGAGAAACAGTTTCTTTAGTTATGTTTAGTCTCTGTTTTTGTTTTTTTATATCACCTAGTTTGATGTTGTGTTTTTATATTCAGCTGTGTGCCGTTATTTAATTATGCTGGACTATTTTTAAGGTGCATCTGAGGAAATTCCTGCTAAAAAACCAAGAACTCAACCTATTAAAAAAAAGAGTAGCAAGGATAATACAGGGAAAGGTAACTTATTGATAAAAATAAGCATTATTATATAGTGTAGCTTCAAGATTAATTCCTTGTATAGGATCTTGTGAATATATGTAATTATGTTGCTTCCAAATTCTTAAAAAAGCAAATGGGGGGAGGTGGGGTAGTTTTAAGACAAGAACCAATTGTCAACAAGTCATCCATAGCATATAGAAGAAATCTTTAGCAGACATGTTTTTCTGACTTACTTACATTGCATTGTATTAGAGACAAAGTTTTACAAGTGAAGTACAGGTAATTGACTTTGGCTTTTCTTTGACTTTGTTTGGTCTCCTATAAAAGCTCTGAGAGAAGTTGTCCTTTTTTTTTAAACAGACCTATCAAAGAGCTTTTTAATCACATCTACTGGTACTAATTTTGCCTTAACTATCACAATTAAATGTTTATAATCCCAGTTACCTGTCAAGAAACACTTACTAAAACTGCAAGACCTCAAGCTTTGAAAACAAGCAGTGATTGGGGGAATGATATTGGAGGTGTGTAATATACATATACTTATCAATAATATACCTATATTTCTTGAGTGTATTCGCAGATTCTTGCTTGCTTTTCTTCAGAGACAACCACTGTCCAGCTCCCCTATATAGTTTGTTGAATAAAAAACATGATTTCATATATAGTTTCTTCTTACTATACTTGGAAGTTTTGAGAGTTGTGTATTAGGTTTGTTTATTTTTTTTTTTACAAATCTTTATAATTATACAGTCACATTTCAAGAAACACTCGCCAAAATTGCAGAACCTCAAGTTTTGGAAACAAGCAGTGACTGGGGGAATGATACAGGAGGTGACTAATAAACATATACTCATCAATAATATACCTGCATTTCTTGAGTGTGTCTGCAGATTTTTGTTTGCTTTACCTCAGAGACAACCATTGTCTGCATTTCCTTATGTAGTTTTTTTTAATTAAAAAAAATCATTTCATGTATAGTTTTTACCTACTATAGTTGAAGGTTTTGAGAGTAGTGTATTAGGTTTTTTATTTATTTGTTTATTTATTTATTTATTTTACATATCTTTATAATTACAGTTTCCTTTGGAGAAACATTCACCAAAACTGCAGAACCCCAAGTTTTGGGAAAAAGCAGTGACTGGGGAAATGATGTAGGAGGTGACTAAATTACATATCTTTTTCAACAACATACCTGCATTTCTTGAGTGCATTAGCAGATTCTTGTTTGCCTTATGTCAGAGAAGACCCATGTGCTGGTTCCCTTATATAGTTTTGTTGATTTCATGTATATTTCAGGTTTTGAGAGTGGTGTATTGTGTTTGTTCATTTGTTTTTTTTTTTTTCCTTCCCCTTGAGTAATCCACTAACTTTAGAGGTTTTTTAATTATATTATTGTCTACTAACTCAGCTCTTTCTAACACTTCTGAATATAAAATCCAGATGCATCTGTACCAACAGCCAACAATAAAAAAGGGAAAGCTAGTGAACCAAAACACAGCCAAAAGAAGGGTAAGTAATCAAACATCCATCCAGTAAAGGAAGGGAAAACTTGAGAGTTTGTGAACAAAATTTGTCAAATTATGGCTGTTTTGTTGAATATCAAGAAAGTAAAAATATCATGACTTACTGGCTTGTGTGATTGGATATTATCCCTGAGAGACAACTTGGTTTTGATGAATCACTTGTTTATCAAGAATGAGTTACAGTCTCTAATAGTTCCTAAGAAGAGCTGCAAATGAAAAATTAACTATTTTGGAAATTTAGCCTTAAGATAGAAGAGGAACAAACTGGTGTAACACTAAGTGCATGTTTGTGTTACATGTACACATAGCTTCCTGCTCCCTCTCACACCAGGACCCATGTGAAAGATATGCTCTTAGAGCTCCAATATATGCTCTCAAAAGCTTTCAAAAAGCAAGTTTTACATGAATTGTACAATGGCTTAAGTTGGTTATCTTGCCCGTGATTCACAAGAAGATTGTCATGCTTTTGTGGGTAGTTGATGCAGAGTACTAATTTCCAGATTTATTTCAGAATTAACTTCCAATATATTTATAAAGTACTTTGAATGTACTTTTAAAATAACAAGAATGTGGTTGAGTGCCTTTCTTAGTAATAATTTGTCATATTAACCCTGCCACATCTCTTGTCTCTTTTGTGTTAAAGGTAACCTTAGCTTTTACACTCAGACAACTGTGAAATAGACCATTCTCAAACACAATGAGCCTTAAAAGACCATCAGTGAGTTGTATCAACTGAAGTAAGTTTTCTTTTTTAAGTATGTGAGACATTGTAAGCACTGAACTCTTGTGAACCTTATCTATTCAAGTTTCCAAGAACACCACCACCAAAAAGCAGACAGCTAAAGCTTCCAACACAACAAATAAAAAGGGGAAGAATGAAAAAGGTAACAACCTTTGACACATCACTTATGGCTTGTTCCAGGCTCAGATGGTCAGTGGAGACAAAAAGAGAGCACTGAGGGCTAATATTTGCATGCTTACTTTCCCCATGCACTGACCAAGAGCCTGGAAAAGGCTAGTTCCTTTTTTAAAAAATTATAGTTTTTAAATACTGTTAGTAATAATTCAATAGAATAAATTAATAGATGAGTTATTTTCTTTATTCATTGCATGTGGGTACATGAAGAAGTAAGCAATTACAGTTTTAAGATGGAACACCTACTGAATTTGTTTGGTGATAGCATATAGTCATATCGTTATAGTGCATGCATGCTTACTCTTGGATTTATTTTGACATTATGAAGGAAAAGTTTGTTTAGTTATGATATGTGAATAACAAGCACAATGTTGGCATTCTTGTGTGAAGAGCTCATTAAAAAAATCACAGAGATAATATTACTGATAATGAGACAAGCATTTTCTTTAGTTATGTGCAGTTTTTGTGCTTATTTTTTTATCACCTAGTTTGATTTTCTGTTTTTATATTCAGCTGTGTGCCATTAGTTAATTATGCTGGACTATTTTTAAGGTGCATCTGAGGAAATTCCTGCTAAAAAACCAAGAACTCAACCTATTAAAAGAAAGAGTAGCAAGGATAATACAGGGAAAGGTAACTTTTTAATGATAAAAATAAGCATTATTTTATAGTTTAGCTTCAATTAAGTCAGATAAAATCCTTGTATATAGGATCCTATATATATATATATATATATATATATAAATAAATGTGGGGTTAGAGTCTACCTTGGCATAAAGTGCTCAATGCTGTGGTAGCAGAGCTAAGTATACATAAAATAAATAATTAAAGAGGATGCATCGATTCTCTGTGACTCTGAGTTTCGCACCTAAGCACTTGTCGGACAGAACTTTATTCAATGAAGAACATACCTTCCTAATGTTCTTCATTGAATAAAGTTCTGTCTGACAAGCCCTTAGGCACAAAACTCAGAGTCGCAGAGAATTGATGCATCCTGTTTAATTCTTTAACAGTATTTTTTACACAAATCTTTACAATTACAGTTACCTTTCAAAAAACACTCACCAAAACTGCAAAACCTCAAGTTTTGGAAACAAGCGGTGACTGGGGGAATGATACAGGAGGTGACTAATAAACATATACTCATCAATAATAAACCAGTATTTCTTGAGTGCGTTTGGTAATTTTTGTCTGCTTTACCTTAGAGACAACCAGTGTCCACGTTTCCTCATATAGTTTTCTTGAATAAAAACATCATTACATGTATAATTTCTACTTCTGATAGTTGAGGTTTTGAGAGTAGTGTATTAGGTTTGTTTGTAATTTTTTTTCCACAAATCTTTTTAATTACAGTTTCCTTTCAAGAAACACTTACCCAACCTGCAAAACCTCAAGTTTTGGAAACAACCAGTAGCTGGGCTGGAAATGATCTAGGAGGTGACTAAGTTACATATATTTTTCAACAATATATATACCTGCATTTTGAGTGTTGAGTGTAGTTGCAGATTCCTGTTAGCTTTTTAACAGAGAAGACCACCGTCCGGGTTCCCTTGTATAGTTTTGTTGAATAAAAGACATTATTCATGGAAACTTTTTATGCCAAGAATAGTTGAAGATTTTGAGAGTAGTGTGTTATGTTTGTTAATTTTTTTTTCTTCACCCTGAGTAATCCACTAACTTTAGAGGTTTTAATGTTATATCATTGTCTACTAACTCAGCTCTTTCTAACACTTCGGAATTTAAAATCCAGATACATCTGCACCTGCACCAACAATCAAAAAAGGGAAGGCCAGTCAACCAAAAGACAGCCAAAAGAAGGGTAAGTAACTGAACATCCATCAAGTAAGGGAAGGGAAAACTTGAGAGTTTGTGAACAAAATTTGTCAAACTACAGCTATTCTATTAAATATCAAGAAAGTAAATATACTGTGACATACTGGCTTGTGTGATTGGATATTATCCCTGAGAGACGACTTGGTTTTGATGGCCAGCTAATGAGATCTCATGAGAAGATAGGCCCTTAAAGTTGGTTGATTTTATTTGTTATATTGTGGAGTCCAAAGCATGAATCATTTGGTTATCAAGACTGAGTTACAGTCAGTAATAGTTCCTTAGAGCTGCAGATAAAAAGTTCACTACTTTGAAAATTTAGCCTTGAGATAGAAGGGGAACAAACTGGTGTAAGGCTAAGTGCATGTTTTTACTACATGAACACATTGCTACCTGCTCTCTCACACATGGACATATGTCAAAGATATGCTGCTAGTACTCTGATATATGCTCTCAAAAGCTTTTGAAAAGCAAGTTTTACATGAGTTGTACAATGGCATAGGTTAGTTATCTTGCCTGTGGTAACAAGGCTTCATAAGAAGATTGTCATGCTTTTATGGGTAGTTAATGCATATTGCTACTTTCCAAATTTTATTTCAGAGTTAACTTTTAATATAATTATGAATTACTTTGAATGATCCATTCTGCATTTGCACAATTAGATGCCAATTAACAAGAATGTGGTTGAGTGTGCCTGTCTTAGTAATAATTTGTTGTACTAACCTTGTCAGGTCTCTTGTCTCTTTCCTGATAAAGCTTACCTTAGCTTTTACCCTCAAACAACCCTGAAATGCACTATTTTCAAATGCAATGAGTCTTACAAGACCATCAGTGAGTTGTATCAGCTGAAGTAAGTTTTCTTTTTTAAGTATGTGAGATATTGTAAGCACTGAACTCTTGTGAACCTTATCTATTCAAGTTTCCAAGAACACCACCACCAAAAAGCAGACAGCTAAAGCTTCAAAGGCAACAAATAAAAAGGGGAAGAATGAGAAAGGTAACAACTTTTGATATGTCACTTATGGCTTGTTCCAGGCTCAGTTGGTCAGTGGAGACAAAAAGAGAGCACTGAAGGCTGTTATTTGCATGCTTACTTTCCCCCTGCACTGACCAAGAGCCTAGAAAAGGCTAGTTCCTTTTTAAAAAAATTTATTTTTAAATACTGTAATACTTCAATGGAATAAATTTATTTAATCAATTAGTTATTTTCTTTATTCATTGCATGTGGGTTCATGAAGAAGTAATTGCAGTTTTAAGATTTAACACCAACTGACTTAATTAGTTCAGAAATAGCACGTAGTCAAATTATTAGTGCATGCATGTCTGTTCTTGGCTTTGTCCTACATCATAAAGGAAAAGTTTGTTGGAGGTATGATATTTGAATAACAAGCACAATGCTGGCATTCTTGTGTGAAGACCTCATTAAAAAAAACACAGAGATAATATTATTGATAATGAAAGGAGCATTTTCTTTCTTTAGTTATGTGTAGTTCTTGTGCTTTTTTTTTTATCACCTAGTTTGATGTTCTATTTTTCTATTCAGCTGTGTGCCATTATTTAATTATGCTGGACTATTTTTTAAGGTGCATCTGAGGAAATTCCTTCTAAAAAACCAAGAACTCAACCTATTAAAAGAAAGAGTAGCAAGGATAATACAGGGAAAGGTAACTTATTGATATAATCAAGCATTATTGTGTAGTGTAGCTTCAAGTCAGATTAAATCCCTGTACAGGATTTTGTTTATATATTTAATTATGTTGCTTCCAGTTTCCTAAAAAAGCAAATGGGGGGGTGGTTGTAAGACAGGAACCAATTGTCAACAAGTCATCAACAGCATATAGGAGAAATCTTTAGCAGACATGTTTTGCTGACTTAATGTCGCATTATATTAGAGACAAAGTTTTACAAGTGATGTGTAGGTAATTGACTTTGGCTCTCTTTAGGCTTTCTTTCGGCTTTGTTTGGTCATTTAATTTTTCCAAACAGACCTATCAAAGAGCTTTTTAATCACATGTACTAGGTTTGCCTTAACAATCACATATCTTTATAATCACAGTTACCTGTCAAGAAACACTTACCGAAACTGCAACACCTCAAGCTTTGAAAACAAGCAGTGATTGGGGGAATGATATTGGAGGTGGCAAATATGCATATATTTTATCAATATTATACCAGCTTTTTTGAGCACATTTGCAGATCCCTTTTTGCTTTACTTTAGAGACAACCACTGTCAATGTTTCCTTATATAGTTTTGTTGCATAAAAGACATCATTCCATGTATATTGTATAGTTTATAGGTTTGTTTGTTTATTTATTTATTTTTTTTTTTTTCACAAATCTCTATAATTACAATTTTCTTTCAAGAACCACCCACCAAAACTGCAAAATGTCAAGTTTTGGAAACAAGCAGTGACTGGGGAAATGATATAGGAGGTGACTAAATTACTTATATTTTCAACAACATACCTGCATTTCTTGAGTGCATTAGCAGATTCTTGTGAGCTTTACACCAGAGAAGACTACCATTCAGGTTCCTTTACATAGTTTTGTTGGATTAAAAAAAATAATTTCATGTATACTTTTTATACCTACAATAGTTGAAGGTTTTGAGAGTAGTGTATTGTTTGTGTATTTTTTTCGTCTTCTTGAGTAATCCATTAACTTTAGAGGTTTTAATGTTATGTTATTGTCTACTAACTCAGCTCCTTCTAACACTTCTGAATTTGAAATCCAGATGCATCTGCACCTGCACCAACAGTCAAAAAAGGGAAGGCTAGTGAACCAAAACAAAGCCAAAAGAAGGGTAAGTAACTGAACATCCATCAAGTAAGGGAAGGGAAAACTTGAGAGTTTGTGAACAAAATTTGTCAAATTATGGCTATTCTGTTGAATATAAAGAAGTAAAAATACTTTGACTTACTGGCTTGTGTAATTAAATATTATCCCTGAGAGACAACTTGGTTTTGATGGCCATCTAATGAGATCTCAGGAGAAGTTAGGCCCTAAAGTTGGTTGATTTCATTTGTTACATTGAGGAGTCTAAAGCATGAATCATTTGTAATAGTTCCAAGAGCTACAGATAAAAGCTTCACCACTTTGGAAATTTAGCCTTGAGATAGAAGGGGAACAAACTGGTGTAAGGCTAATTAAGTGCATGTTTGTGCTACATGTACGCATAGCTTCCTGGTCTCTCATGCCAAGACCCATGTCAAAGATATGCTCTCAAAAGCTTTCAAAAAGCAAGTTTTACATGAGTTGTTATGGCATAAGTTAGTTATCTTGCTTATGGCACAAGGGCTCTTTAAGAAGATTATCATGCATTTGTGGGTAGTTAATGCATAGTGCTAATTTCCAGATTTTAATTCAGAATTATCTTCTAATATAATTGCAGAGTACTTTGAATGATCCATTTTGTATTTGCAAAATTAGATGCCAATGAACAAGAATGTGGTTGAGGGTGCCTTTCTTAGTAATAATTTGTTATACTAACCTTACCAGGTTTCTTGTGTCTTTTGTGACAAAGCTAACCTAGTTTTTACCTTCAAACAACCCTGAAATGGACTATTCTCAAACACAATGAGCCTTACAAGACCATCAATGAGTTGTATCAAGTTAGTTTTCTTTTTAAACATGTGAGATATTGTAAGCACTGAACTCTTGTGAACCTTATCTATTCAAGTCTCCAAGAACACCACCACCAAAAAGCAGACAGCTAAAGCCTCCAATACAACAAATAAAAAGGAAAAGAATGAGAAAGGTAACAATTTTTGATTTATTCCTTTATGGCTTGTTCCAGGCTCAATGGTCAGTGGAGACAAAAAGAGAGCACTCAAGGCTGCTCTATGCATGCTTACTTTCCCCCTGCACTGACCAAGTGCCTGGAAAAGGCTAGTTCGTTTTTTAAAAATTATAGTTTTTAAATACTGTAATACTTCAATAGAATAAATTAATATATGAGTTATCTTCTTTATTCATTGCATGTGGGTTCATGAAGAAGTAACACCAACTGACTTAGCACAGTCAAATTATAAATTCATGCATGCTGCTACTTGTTTCACATCCTGAAGGAAAAGTTTGTTGGAGTTATGACATTTGAATAACAAGCATAAAAAAATAAGGAGATAATGTTATTGATAATGAGAGGAGTAGTTTCTTTAATTCTGTGTAGTTTTGGTTTTTGTGTTTTCTTTTTTTTACCTAGTTTGATATTCTGTTTTTATATTTGAATGTGTGCCATAATTTAATAATGCTGAATTATTTTTTAAGGTGCATCTGAGGAAATTCCTGCTAAAAATCCAAGAACTCAACCTAATAAAAAAAAGAGTAGCAAGGATAATACAGGGAAAGGTAACTTATTGATAAAAATAAGCATTATTATATAGTGTAGTTTCAAGTCAGATTAAATCCTTGTATAGGATCTTGTTAATATATATAATTCTGTTGCTTTCAGATTCCTTAAAAATGCAAATGGGAAGGGGGTAGTTTTAAGACAGGAACCAATTATCAACAAGTCATCAGCAGCATATAGGAAAAATCTTTAGCAGACATGTTTTGCTTAATTACTTATGTTGTATTATATTAGAGACAAAGTTTTACAACTGATGTATGGGTAATTGACTTTGGCTTTCTCTTGGCTATGTTTGGTGTTCTGTAAAAGCTGTGAGAGAAGTTGTCATTATTTTTAAACAGACAAATCCAAGAGCTTTTTAATCAATTGTACTAGTTTTGCCCTAACTACCACAAATCTCTATAACTACAGTTACCTGTCAAGAAACACACACCAACATTGCAAAACCTCAAGTTTTGGAAATGAGCAGTGACTGGAAGAATGATACAGGAGGTGACTAACTTACATATATATATATTTCATTAATATAACTACATTTCTTGAGTGCATTTGCAGATTCTTGTTTGCTTTACTTCAGAGACATCCACGGTCTGGGCGGTCTGGTAGAAGAAGAAACATAATTACATGTATAGATTCTACTTATGATAGTTGAAGGTTTTGAGACTAGTGTATTGGGTTTGTTTATTTGTTTATTTTTTTTTTTTTTCCACAAATCTTTATAATGACAGTTACCCATCAAGAGACAATCACCAAAACTGCAAGACCCCAAGCTTTGAAAACAAGCGGTGACTGGGAGAATGATAAAGGAGGTGACTAATGCAACTGTATTTTTCAATAATATACCTGCATTTCTTGAGTGCATTTGCTGATTCTTGTTGGCTTAATTACATATAAGACCACTTTCCTGGTTCCCTTATATAGTTTTATTGAATAAAAAACATCATTTCATGTACAGTTTGTACTCACAACAGTGAAAGGTTTTGAGAGTGGTGTGTTAGGTTTGTTTGTTAATTTTTTTTCTCTCAAAGTAATCCAACAACCTAAGGGGTATTATTGTTATATTATTGTCTACTACCTCAACTCTTTCTAACACTTTTGAATTTAAAATCCAGATGCATCTGCACCAACAGTTAGCAATAAAAAAGGGAAGGCTAGTGAACCAAAACACGGCAAAAAGAAGAGTAAGTAATAGAACATCTATTTAGTAAGGGAAGGACAAAATTCGTCTGTTGAATATCAAGAAATTAAAAATATCGTGACTTACTGGCTTGTGTGATTATATATTATCCCTGAGAGATAACTTGGCTCTGACGACCAGCTAATCGGAGATCTCGTGAGTAGATAGGCCATAAAGCTGGTTGATTTCATTTGTTATATTGTGGGAAAGGAGTATGGAGTATTCTCGTTGGAGCTTGAGTTTACCAGTAATTTTGGGGCTAGATTGTCAGACAAATGATTCATAGTCTTTTTATAGTTAAACAGGGCACACCAAAGATGGCTGAGTTAGAAGGATTGGGTATAGATATTGGTGACAAGTGGAAAACTCTGGGAAGACGCTTAAAAGTATCAGAGCAACTCGAAATAATCGATGCGCGATATAATACTCTTTCTGAAAAAGCCTTCCAGATGCTTCAATACTGGACCCAGAAAAGAGGTTCCTCTGCGACCTACAGAGTTCTAAGTGGTGCCTTAAAAGACGGTCTTTTAGTACGTAAAGACTTGTCAGAAAAGTACTGTTATGGTTGACAGTTGACATAACAAATATTTTCTTGTCTTTTAACTCTGATTTACGTGGGAGTGAGCGGTTTAGTATGTACTTTCTTTGCTCTATTTTCTTGTTCTTTCAGTTACACATGTCACTTTCGTCGAAATGTTTAAAATGTACGTCCAAACTTATGACAGTTCTTTCACAAACAAAACAGCTGCTTAAGAGTCAGAGTTTTGTAACAGCAAACTAAATACAGTAAGCAAGAGTATTGTTTCGTGGTCGAATCTCAGAGTAGAATTTTAGAATTTCAAACTGATCGCTCAACATACAGGTAGCGATTATTTTTAAAGGATCAGACTGAAACAGAAAGGGCGATTTGCCGATTTTTTTTTTATTCTTGGGGTATTGTCTAGTTGGTAGGTTACTATCAAATTTTCAACTTAATTTTAATTTTTTTAGAACGGCGTTTTTGTCTCTTTTTCATGCTGAGCACCAGTAGATTTAGACCGTCAGTAGTACTAAACAAGTTAACTGGTATATCGTATGAATAGCTTGTTGATAAATGTAATTATTTTAGACTTTTTTTTAGGTCATTATTACATTTCTGCGGGTGAATTGTTGTAATTTACGAAATTACCAAGAAATTGTAATTTTTACACCCCGTTATTAATGTGTTAATAGAGAATTCCTCCCAAAAAAGTGTTAGAGAAATATTTGGTAAGGATGGCAGTTATTTTATCTTCATGTTAAGTCATAAATTTTGTCCGTTAAAGCTATAGAAGGTTGGATAGGATTATTTTTATGGATCTAGGTAAATACAAAGTTTGTGATATTGCACACCTTTTAAATTATGGATTTGGTGTTAAGTCAAATTATTTTTCTTAGATACCTAGTGTCGTAAATTGTAAATTACAATTATCCGTAATAAAATACGTTTAACGTATTGAAACTCACAGCAAGCAATGTTTTTGTTGTTCAGCATCAAGCAGAAACTCGTGCATTCGTGAGGGTAAACTAATTGTTAGATATCCCAAGAAATTTCTTCGAGTGAGCCTGCTGAGGGCAGTCAGTTTTCTTCCAATTTTCACTACTGTGAGAGCCCAGGACAGACGTGGTCTACTAAACCGCAAAACAGCAGCTTGTTCTTTATTTATTATTGTTATTATCATTATTATAATTACTACTATTATCAAAAGAAAAACCCTGAAGTAAAAAAGTGAGCGTTGTTTTTTCGACATGGAACGACGAGCTTATTTTTATTTCTCAAATACCAGCTGTTTTATTTCTTTAATTTTTTTTTAATCGTAGTACTTTTGTGTATTTCGATATTTATAGCGATTTCTAACCTGGTGTTTCCCTCGCTGGAATTAGTTACCAGGCTCTTTTAGCATGCAAGCTACCAGACTTGGAAACAAAAATTTATTTTTTACCGTTCTACTATAGTCTTTAAAATCTTATGCTATCTATTATTCCGGTTTGGAAATGTAAAACCGGCTTTGACCATCGAGAATAAGAGAATGCGAACATCCTCGGCACTTAGAAGCTCCTGTTGCAGAGGTCCACACGCACGCAACCTAACGGGGCTGCGTGGGACATCTAGCTACACGCGTGATATCGCATGTGTAGCGTAACTGAGTCCTTGTTTTCAGGCCTTGCTCCACGATGTGCGTGGATGCGAATCAAGTTTGCAGATTTATGCACGCGTCTTCTTTTCCGCTCAAAACATCCTCGAGGTGCTAAGACAAGATGAAAAGAATCAGAACTTTCCTCAACCAGTGGTAAGCGGAAATTCTTACAACAAAACTGGAAAAAATTACGTTATATTGTCAGCGGTAGGTCAGTCTCCAGTCGAAGACTGGAATTCGAACGAAATTGTAATCCCAGCGAAATGAAGTCAATGTTTCTCGCTAAGAATCGCTGAAATTTTATCTGCCTTTTTAGTTGTATTTTATATAAACGTTAGCTTTGCTTATTATTTGACATTTTCTAAGATCCGCTCTCAGTGTTTATTAAATATGAAGATCTATAAACGACCGTTGAGATCTTATACTCAACGACTTAACGTTGCACGATCAAGCTTGTTTCAATATTAAGCTCAATCTTAATGCATCTAGAATTCATGACGGTCGAACGAAGATGGATCCATTTTTTCTAAAAAGGTATTTTTAATTTAATTTAATAATTATGCTGTGAAACCAACCTTTCTCTCGCGGCTACTGCACTTAGTGCAACTGTAAACCGGAAGTCACGCATGAGAGGCGATCGAAGTTTTCTCAAGATAATCCATGAGTTTGTAAATTTTTGTTGTGCTTGCTGATTGCTCTCATGCTGATCAACGAAAAAAACAAATTCAAAGCATCCTAGCTTGTTGCGTTGTCCCTCGTGTGTAGTATGCTGTTGAACACGATCTTTGTGAATAGTGGTAAAAGAAACCGATACCATTATTTAACCTGTAAATCTACACGAACAGGAACAGTTGACATAAACTTAGAACAATTTAGGATAGTCCACAGGTGTTTCATCAACAGTTTGTTGTTAGCAGGGTATAGACATGGGTGATCAAATTACAGAGCTTCTGCAGGAAAGATTTGTGTGCAGCCTCATACTTCATTATGCACATAGTTTTTGGATAAACAAAACAATGGCAAACCGATAGATTACCTTTGTGACTACAGCTTTGTTGTTTGAGGTTGTACGAAAATCTTTTCCTACTTTACTACAAATTAATTTTGAGCTTTGCTTTACGGAAATAATTTCACTCTAAAAGGATTCTGCTTGAGGGACAATTTTGTTACCCTTTTTATGAGCTAGAGTGTTAAATGTAAACTTTTAAGTACCCTGGCATAGATTTTACATTTATTGTTTTAACATATACTGTATAAAGTAAATGTTATTTAATTTACCATGCATGAAATCTGTTTTTCTGTTTTGCCACGAATGGGTGGGAAACTTTGGCACTTTTGTCCATATTTTAAAAAGCTGGGCCAGCAACAAGGATGTAGTTAGCCAATCAGAGTTAAGAATTTAAGATTCCAGCCTGATAAAGTGTTTCTGAAAAAACATATATATATATATATATATATATATATATATATATATATATATATTATCATTAAATTTTGGACTAGCCTTGTCAAAAGAGTCTATTATTTACTGTTTTTGTTGCTTGAAAAAGAAACTGCTCTTATTGATTTACTAACTAAAGAACTGAGAATAATTTTCTTGTCGTGTTGACATTGTTTTCTTTTTAAAGAGGTTTATAGAGGGCACAATAAACATCCACAGGCAACCATGTGTCAGCTGTCTCCTACAAGTAGAAAGAAGTTGATGATTAAAAGTTTGTTAAATTTGTAATTGAAAGGTAAGAACACTAATGTAATTTAGAAACCTGATCTACTGCTTTTTCAAAGTTTAATAGATACATAAGAATTAATATACATGTAGGTAATAACATGATTTCAAGTGCAATATGATGAAAATATGCACATATAAAATTTTCAAGACAATGAAAACTGCAGTAACCCATACATGTATTATAATTATTTCCAAAGTGAAATAAATATTCTGAGGGTAAGACTTCCTCAAATGTGCTGGGAGCCTAGAGAGTGGCAGAAAGAAGACGTACAGGATAGGTGGGGGACCCTATGTCAGTTAAGATTATGCAATGTTGAGGAGTGGGAGTAAATGATAAATTAGTATAACAAAGTCTAGAGATTTTATTGAGAAGGCCACTGGAATCCAATGATGAATAAGACTTTAAGAAATTTTGTAGAAGAGTATTTGGAAACTGCATTGTTTTTTATTACAATAATTGCTGAAGTTTGGTAAGTGCTGGTAAAAAGTCAATGAAAGAAAGCCAAGGATTTACAAGTAAAATAAATATTTTTAGGGAACCACTTCTCACATGGGGTTTAACTGGGAAGGCCAACAGACTTTTTTTGTGTTGGTTTTTGTTGGGTTTTTTCAAACTGATTACAAGAATGTTCTGTAGCATTCCAATCATGTTATACAAACTGACCAGAAGGAAACATCCTAAGTCTATGAAGTAGAATTGTTTGTCTATTGATTTTTGCTATGTTTTGATGATGTACTGGGCATCTTTATCAGGCAATAAGGTTGACTGGGTATGTGTTACCTTATGAACTGTTCTGCTCAGTTGTAATTGGCTGGAATTCCACAGCTGTGATTGGCACATCCTATTAACTTATTAACATATATTTACAAAGTGCATGTGCATGCAGGACCATTGCTTTAACCGTTTAACTCCCATGAGTGATCAAGACAGAATTTCTTCTTACAATATCAATACAATATCAACCAGATGAGTGATGAGATACTAAATTCTCTGAACTAACATTAGAAGAATTGTATGGTTGACAATAAGGAGAATTAAAAATTTGATCTGGGAGTTAAAGGGTTAATTTATCCTTTGCTTTAACCCTGCTTTGATTGATCATTCTTCTGTACTTCATGTATCAGTGGTTTGACTAATGTTCAAATTTATGTGAATAATATCGAGCCATACTTCAGTCAGGTTGTGTTGACACTTATTGGTATCCCTAGTGAAGTAACTTCAGTTTTTTTTAAGTACTATATATTTTATTTTAGGCAAGGCATGTGCATACAATCAGCCTTCATTATTTGCCGATGAGGAACCTACAGAAAGGACAATGCAATCCTCATTGGGTCAGGAGGTAACATCTGTTCCTGAACTTACACTTGCATATTGTAGTAGAAAAGTTGTAAACTAATTTATTTTCTTCCCTTCATTTCAGCTTTTTGACATCACTAAAGACAAAGAAAAGACTCAGCAACAACCAATTAGACTCACTCTGTTGAGTACCGAATGGAGGCCATCGCTATTAAACCTTTCTATAATCATAAGAGGACTCGCCATAGAGTTAGCTAAAGATCCACATGTGGAAGTTAGTGTCTTTCTTCCACACTGCAGTGAAGAAGAAAGGAGAAATGCTGCAGGTTACAATGTTCAGCTCATTGAAGCAGAGAAAATGGTTCCTGTTACTCATCCAATTGACTGGCTGATTAATTTACCCCAAGGACATGTCATGGATTGTGTTTTAGCTTATGGTGCAAGTGATGGTAGAGAAGTGCCTTACATCATCAAAAAGCAGCATAATTGTAAATGGATTCAAGTGGTTCTTGAGGAACCTGGAAGGAACATCACAGACCTTTCAGAGAGTGAAAAATGGGATCAGGCAGAAGTGGAAATCTGTGAGATAGCTGATCAAATTTTAGCCATTGGGCCTAAGCTTGCAGATGCATATCAACACTACTTTTATTCAAGGAATATAGATCAAACTGTGTTAATTTACACCCCAAGCATTTTCTCTGAGATTTGGGATGTTCCACAGTTAGATGTTGTGGATGTCAAAGAATCATCACCTTTTGTTGTTTTACTATTTGGCCTCAGTGGAAAACTTGAAATTAAGTGGTGGGAAATTGTTGCTGAAGCAATGTCTGCATCGGAGGATGAAACCCACATACACATTTTATTCTCCTCAGAGGTAAATACAGATGCCATGGAAAGAAAGTTATTTGATAGTTTCATAAGACACAATCAACTGTTCTTTAATGTTGTTGTTAATAACAGCTTTACAATAGCAGAACTTACTAATTTATTCAGTGAGGCAGATCTTGCCATAATGCCATTCTGGACTGAAAGTTTTGAATTAGCAGCACTTGGAGCCCTATCTGTTGGTTTGCCAATGCTTGTCAGAGGTTCTTCAGGATTTGGGAAGGTTCTAAAAGAAGTTCCCTTAGGCCCTCAGTGTGTAGTTGACTCTGATGATCCTAAAGACTGGACCAAGGAAATTAGAGCAATACAGCAAAAACCCAGGGTAGTGCGACTTAAAGAGATGAAACTTATCCGTGAAAACTACTCGGAGAAATACAACATGGAGGAATCCTCTGGAAGACTTTTGAAAAAGATGCTTGAGTTGGTGTCAGGTACAATTTCTCTTTTTTAAATTAAGTTACAAGTTTAATAATTTTATTATTGATTGCATTTACATGACTGTTGCCTTCTCCATTTACCAACAGTAAGTTCATAATGATGCACAATAGGTTAGCTCCTGAATGTTATTTATTAGTTAATTTTGGATTTTCAAAGGTCAGAGCAATCAATTTTCAGCTAGTATTCTCTGCATATATGAGTTTTTAACTTTGAATCTTATTAGCTTAGAATTAGGTTGTTGCAGTTCTAACTTATTCTACAGGATATTATGAGATAACTTGGTTTAGTCCTATAATTTCTTGCAGATGAGCCTCAACAATTCTCAGACTTTGTTTTCATATCACACTTAATAATTTTCCAAAGCAGGATTGAGAAGAAAAATGCAAATTGTTTTACACAATGATATAAAGCAATTCTTTTGTGTCTTTTAGTCAAGGTGTAGAGATTTTAGTATGGTGGTTATTTCTTGCATTATTTTCCAATCAGAGTTGATTTTAAACAAAACATAATGCAGCATTAATAGTTAGCTTTAGCTTTATCCTTGAATTTTGAAATTATAACAGGATTCTGGGGATGACAACTGGTTAACATCCCTCTCTCATTTGAAGGCAAGGAACTCTACTCTTAGAAAGAGTTATTCTGGTTAGTTCAATATTCTCCAACAACATTTTATGGGGTCAAATTACAGGTAGATCTAAAAGCAGATTAAAGTCAAGGCGATCTGCAGCTAAAAGGTCATCACCTGGTGTTCATGAGTTCACTGCCAAGAAACATAAGGGAGAGCCAATGACTTTGCCATCAACATCCACTAAGGAAACAACCCACTATAAAGAGTGGCTGCAACAAAGGGAGAGAGAATCAATGCTGATTGAAGAAGATGGTAAGTTTAAGAATGAATACTTAACCAAGTGAATTTTTTAATGAAGGAAAAGGGAGTTTCAATGTCTCATACTGTCAACACTACTCATGTTAAACTTAACTAGATTTACAATTGTATAGATTTGGCCCCTTTGTCTGGATTAGCTGAGACAAACTTTTTACAAGGGGAAAATACAAACTGGTGTTGGAAAATTTGAGTTTCACTATGTTTGTATGCTTGTTTTATTAAAAATATTTAGTTCCCATGGAGGGCGTGATGTCCCAGTTGGTAAATGTTAAGATGGAACCAGATACTGTGCAACACTTAGAATTGAAAAAAGATCCATTGCTGGATGTTGAAGTGATCACAAGATCTGTCATTTTTAGGTAAGAATTACTATATCTAACTCATCAATTTATTATCGGTAAGGTGGCACATATTGCAAGAGTCAACTGGTTAATTTGGAGAATTTATATTTAGTAATCTGTGGATAGTAATGAGCAGATTTGGTATGAAAGAAAAACCAATTGACTCTGCACAAAGAGATTGATTGATAAGAGTGGCAATGGTTTTACCATCTCATACTGAGAGATGATGACCTCTTTCTGATTGGACTTAAAGCATATTTTAACTCTGTGAAGGGGACTGTGAGCTGCCCTTCTCAAAAGAGCCACTATGAACTTCCATAGACTTAGAGATTTTTATCACCAATTCAAGTTGCTTTTGCACAGGTGCAAGGATAAATACATGGTTGAAAATGAGATTGATTGATTACAGGTATCTGTTTTGAGGTAGCTTAGTCAGAACTCAGGGCCTGGTCAAAGTTTCTTTTCTTTCCTTTTCTTTTTTTTTAAGTCATTCATATACCAAACCGAAAAACAAAGGAAACAACGCTTTGCTAAATTAGTGACAGGATAGATGAAACTTTTAAGTTTCTTCAGAGATAGCTTTGAGGACAAGTCTCATCACTCCCTCAGCTTTTTTGGTTATATTTTTTAATGTTCTAAAGCATAACTGTTATTGAAAAAGGGGGGTAATTTTTTAAAGAAACTTTGGTGCTGCGTTGGTGGGAGAGTATAACATGGTAAATTGGTATTATCAACTGATTTAATAACATAAATTGGCCACCGTAAAAAGCTGCAAAGCTAACATTTCGAGCGGTAGCCCTTCGTTATTCGCTCTGACGAAATCTAACGCTCGAATTGTCAACTTTGCAACTCTTTAAGGTGGCCAGTCTGATGATACCAAATTACCCTGTCATAACTGTTATTGCCGACCTTATTTTTAGGGGTGAAGTTACAGAAAGAGGTTGTGTATGGAACCTACCGGAAGCAGCCGCCTACGTCACATTTCATGAGGGAGCTGTGCCAAAACCTTTGTTATTTACTTGTTCAGTATTGCCTCTTAAACTTCGCTGTCCGCCCATTTCTAGTGATGAGCTTTTGGTAAGCAATGTGATTGAATTGTCATATGATGGTCCACCAGACCTAGAGTTAAGTGGAGATGATGAAGGAAACGTAACTGTGGCTTTGTTGCACAGTGCAACTGATTTGAAGGGCTATGAAGTGGTTATCAAGCAATTGGTGGATCCATATGACAACGTATGGAAGGATTTGGAGACTTGGCATGCATCAGGTACAGGTTACATGTCATTTATGATGATTGTTAGTGAGCTTTTGGATAGTGTCACAAAACCAAAACCAAAGTACAAACTGTAATCATAACAGCCAATCAGAAGAAAGGAAATAATTGTACGAGCCAATGAAAACTCAAAGTATAACCGAACAAACTGCCTAATAAAGCGCGGGAAAACGCTGGCGACAAAGTCTTGATTTGTTTTATTTTTGCTTGTGATTGGTTCAGAGATTGGCCCGAGTTTTCTGGACCAATCAACGAGCGAAGAAAAACAAAAACAAATCAATCCCGGATTACTTTATGCACTCATTTGAAAATTGCTCTTTATGATTATTGATTGTGAAGTCTGAAAACCTGGGTGAGGGTATATAGTCCTGAAAAGAACTGATTTCGTTGACAATTTGTAGCGTTTCGTTAACCTGAGCAGAAGTCATCGTCAGAGTCCAGTGTGGAGTTGTTTGTAAGTCGAATGTTGTATGTGTGATCGAGATTGTAGGGTTCAGTGCAAGTTGACTCATCCACTAGTTTGTTGGTATCCTTCGTCCTTTATTGAATTGTTTTGTTTTCGCGCCGGTTGTTCTCATTCTTCCGCCCTCTAAGACTTAAAGCCGACGACACCGCAGCAAAACTGACCAATCAGTTTTCACGAATCAGACTTATATGTTCGACTTACAAGCAAATATTTGCGAGAAATTGATGATGGTTTCCTCAAAGGTTGCTGAAACATCAGTCTTTTACCACCTACAACAGTCCTTCAGCCAGAAAATTAGACTACACAATCATTTTTTACTCTTTAGTCCATCCTTTTTCTGCATTATAGAAGTAACACAGTTGTAATAATTTTTTGGCACCTATCAAGAAAACAGCTCAAAATATTCAACTGAAATTTAACGTTTATGTGTAGAAAAACCAGAAGTTTCTGACTGGCGTCAGCTTGTTGAAGCTACATGCACCCCGTCACGATGTTCCTCGTTTGCTGCCATCTGGCGCCTAAAGTCCTTCACATTTAAAAGACGTACTTCATTGGCTCCTCAATTCACATGTGTAGTACCTGACTTTCCAGACATATGCGTTGAAGTTCCTTCCAGTTCTGTACCTGTTGATCAGGACTTTACTCTGACAATTAAGGTATTGGAAAACCCCGTTAACTCGCTTGATTAACTCGAACCCCCAGCTAACTTGAAAAGGACCCGATCTCCCTAGATTTTACCTCATTTTTCCGGTGACTTACTATAAGCTGGCTTAAACTCGGTTAACTAGAATTCCCCGTGAAGTCAAACTAATTTTACTTTCCCTTGACTCAAATTTATGCTGAGAACTCGAACTTAAAGTAAAATGTTGGTCTCAACCTTTAATCACGATGGATACGAACGTGATAACATTTATTAAAACATAATACATTCAGCTGAATTTCCCAAACTAAGAAGCACTTAATACAAACTAAATGGAAGTATGTGACTGTTGATTGTACAAGAATGGTAAAAACATGATTCCCTATTAATTATTAACAGGATAAATCTAAATCAATACCAAGTCTGATAACTAGAACCCCTGCTAATTCGAACCAGTTTTTGTTTCCCGGTGGAGTTCGAGTTTGCAGGGTTCTATTGTATTATCTTATGTCCCAATTTAGAGGCAAATGACTTAGATGTGTTTGCATGTGCTTGTTAATGAAATAGCTACACTTGCATCTCCGTTACTTTTAATCCTTAAACAACATGCTTCTAAATAAAACCTCCCACAGAAGTAACTTTTAAAAGGTTGATCTTTCTTTACTCAGGGACAATCTGAAAATTTTATCTCTATCCTGATCTAAGAAAGAAGATTGTTTTATGGGTGGTATTCACCAAAAGTCAACACCTTTTCTGATTTTTCATCTAAGGTACAAGAATTTCCAAGCAATGAGGTTGAAGACATTGGGATACTGTGTGGTCCTGTCATTCACATTTCAAGCTCTCAGAACATTGTACATATGGAGCCTGTGACTTTCAAGGTTCCCCTCGCCCTTCGTGAAAGTAAACATGACTTTTCAGAGCTTTCAAGTGAAATCATAAGGATATTATACCTCGACTCAGAGGACAAACCATGGAACGCTAGCTGGACGGACATCACAGGTCAACTAGAAGGGCCAGTTACTGTTAAAGATGGAATTGTAGAATTCAAAGTGAAGCATTTCTGTCGGTGAGTTGTGTAAAATCTTTAGTTACAGGGGAAAATACTTCATTTTGCTTTTTGAATTCCGTCAATAGACAGGATGTTTGTCATATGGGCCTAGTTTTCAGCCCCTAGTTAAATGATTTTCTTGTTGGCCGCACTCTCACTGTTTTTCTTCAGAGCTTGCCTTTAATTTGTTACTGACAGGGTGAGTTGGTTGTTAGCCGCACTGCCGCGCAGGAGGTGGAGGGTTCTAGCTGAGGAACGGACTAACATTGAGCGAATTTGAGAAAAATTTAGGAGCGTGTGCTGCCTTTTCGATGTCATCGGGAAATGATTAGACTAGCTAGTCTTCTCGAGTAAGGGCTATTGACCAGGGTTTTCAATAAAAAAAAAGCCGCCAATCAGTGGTCTACCACCGCCTAAAAGACCATTTACCGCCGTCTGTTTAGCCCGCGACCAAACTCTCTCGATATCGACGTGTCTGTGCGGAGTGAAACAGCCTTCTACGTCTTAAAACACGAGGGATCATTTTTGAGCAAGATGTTACAGTTTATTCGTGTTACTTTCTGTTTTGCAGATTCTGTGTCTGCGCGTTCCGTAAACCCGTTGCTCTTTTGGAAGATTTTTTTCGTCGTCTTTTCTTCAGACCCATGCCTCAATGTGTACATTTTCTCACTTGTTTATGTAAGACAACAGTTCCTGATACTTACGGCCTTTTATTGTACTGTTATCCAAACTTTAAAAAAGCTGAGGTGGAAAAGAAATTGTCAAGCTATGACGCACCTTACAAAGGTGAAGGAAAGTCAAAGGAGCCTGCTTGTGTCGGGGATGGAATTGTGGTTTCCCCATTAGCGCTTGATTTTGTGCGGGAGTCTCAAAGGAAAGAAAAGGTAGTTCTCAGGTAAGCTACTGATTTCCTTTGAAAGGTTTGTCACGATACAGCATGGTAAGGCCAAGAGGCTCGACTATCCAAATTACCTCTTTATACTCTAACTCCCAAGATCCGATCGTTAATTCTCCCCTTCAGCTGCAACAGATTTCCTCGTAAATTAATTACGAGAACTTGGTGTTAGACCAAGATTACAACTTCTACCCGATAAGTTTGAGTATTCTCATTACCTGTTTCCCGGAAAGTATATGGATATTATAGGGAGAAGTTTCTTGTTAATCACTCGTGGGAGTAAAGGGGTTTAAAGGAAAACAACAAACCAGGCAGGTTTTATACATTTTTCTGAATCGCTTCCTTAGGTCACTGACATTTCTAACAGTTTGTTAAGTTAGTTGTTCAGTTATCTTGTAGGAATGTTAGTTAGGTATACATTTAAACTTTGAATAATGCGTATGGTACATGTAGGATAAATAACTTTATTCATTAGTTTTTGTTCAAGTTACATTTTGGTAGCAGGGTTAAAAATTCCGCATTCGTCTGGTTGAACATGATTCGGGGGGGAGGAGGGTTGGTTGGCAGCCAGTATGAAGTAGAGAAGTAGAGATAAAATGAAACCCATGCAATCTAGCTAAAAATATTTATTTGGTTTCCATTTTTCAGGTTTCTTGGAAATGATATATCTGACAACAGTGACATAGCTTTGATTGTTCGCGTGGACAGCCAAAGTGTTCCAACGGTGAAGTTCTCCAAAGACGAAAAGCTGCAAAAACTTCTCTGTGAAGTGCCGATCTTGAAGACTCGACTAGTATCTGCGGTACAGATAGCATTGTTTAGTAAATGTTCCTTTTAGAGCAATATTCAATTTAGAGTCGAAAGTAATCCGAGATTGCATCGGTTTTACTTTACTTCGCATTGTTATTGGTCGAGAAAACTCTTGCCTCTCTCTCAACCAATCACATGCAAAATTAACAGAAATCTTAGTTACCCGCGTTTTCCCGCGCTTTTAGGCAGACTGGTTGGTTTTACTTTGACTTCCTATTGGCTCTTAAAGGTATTTTCCTTTCTTCCGATTGGCAGTTTTGGTTATTTTGGTTTTGGTTTTACAACTCTCCAATTTAATTCATGACCAACATTTATCATTGGTACAGAGGTTTACTATGCATCTTGAATTATCTTAGATGATTCATGGATTTTATTCTAGCGTAAATGCTAGATTCTAAACTCTCGAGAATGAAAGATTTCGTTCAGAATACTGGTTCTTTTAGATTTTAGTATCTTCAGACCTTTAATACCAATTAACATCAAGTGGATGTCTTGTGACATATTGCTGTTTTGTTTTGTTTCGTTTTTTTAGTCATGATTCCTTGTTATTATTGGCAGGTTCCTGTAACAGAGGGCGGAGATCAAAGAGTGGTACCAGAGGAAAGACCTGCACTAGGTGAGTGGGCCTTGAAAATCACTCGATCATAGGTGGGGGGTGGTCCTAAAACCACGCGTTGTATTCCTCTTTTTTTGCAATTAATAAGGTCACTAAGCCAAGTGTCAGGGTGCAGTTTTGATGAAGCTCGTTTTGATTAGGGACCAGACATTTATCGCCGGCGGGGGGAGGGTCTGAAGATTTTGGTCGAGTAACGATAAAATGAATCTGATCTCTCTTATGGTCTCTCTCCCCCACCCCACCCCAACCCCCTCGATCGCAGTTTATTGAAAGTCAATTTTCTCCACAACCCCCCTTTGTACTCTGTTGACGACAACCGATCCCCCTCAATTTCCCCTGAAAACCATGTCATCCCCCTCGAAAAAAAGTCCTCCGTCTGCTACCCCCTCTCCCCACCCCGCGATAAAAAATGACTGGTGCCTTTACAGAAACCCAAAAGAGAAAGGGTTCAGTAGCATACATATTTTGTCGGGTGTTCCAACTGTCGTTGATCTGAGGAGTATTCCCCTCTCCGTCATTGTCTACCTTTTGACTATCATGAAGTAAATCTTGTTGGTTTTTTTTTTGCAGTTAAAGATGGTGAACCAGATGATGTTGAATTGTCTGACATAGCCGAGAAAATTCCTCAACTGTGGAGAAAACTCGGACGTATTTTAAGAGTTCCACGGGAAAATCTAAACGAGCTTGGTATAAATCACAGGGACGATGCCTATGAAAGGGCTTTCCAAGTACTATCGAGCTGGAAGGAAACTTTAAGTGATGGTGCAATTTTAGGGTATCAAGTATTGTTCGATGCCTTGACCAAAATTGGCCGCAGTGATTTGGCCAAAAAGTACTGTTGTTACTGATTCAAGTTGCGTGGTTTCGAAGAAAGAAAAAGTTACTAGCCGGCAGAGATGCTTCTTAATACTTTTTAGGTAGATCTTTACACAGATCTAATTCATACTCGCGTCTAGACCTAAGATAATTAAGTATCATCAACTGAAGTGATAACGTAAATTGGCCACCGTAAAGAGTTTCAAAGCTGACGTTTCGCGCGTTAGCCCTTCGTCATTCGCTCTAACGAAGGGCTAACGCTCGAAACATCAGCTTTGAAACTCTTTACGATGGCCAATTTGCGTTATTGACTCAGTTGATAATACTAAATTACCCAGTTATCATTCTCTTACCGACGCAGCACCACAGTTTATTTCGAAACTTACCCCCTTTATTCATCTGAGCCTAAGGGGCCGGTCATTATTTCTCGCCTGGGTTGAGGTGGGTAGGATGATTTTGGTTGTGTCACAATGAAGTTTACCTAATCCCCCCATAAGGATTTGAAGTATTCTAACGACCCCCTCCCCCCTCCCCTCATTGGCAATGAATTTCTATAGTTTTCCCTTTATACTCTGTTACAGACGACTAATCCCCCTCTGTTCCCCCCTGAAAACCGTCTGATCCCCAAAATCCTCCGAATCCTCCCTTCAGCAGATGAGTAAGACTGGCTCCTAAGCTGGTCTTAAAGAAGCAGAACACGCTAATCTTACGAAACTGAGTCAGCAACAATCATTTTACCATTGTGAACGAAGTTTCATTTTTTAACCAAGAAAATAATTTTTTATTGTATATAAGAATCAAAACTACCTTTTTAAGTCCGTGTTTGTAATTATAGAAGATTTTCCAGTGTATTATTCATTAATTTTACTCTACAGTATTCATGTATAGTCTTTGAATTTTCAAGTAGCTGTACGTACCACTTTTAAACGATTACGTACCCTTTTGTTTCCATATCCTCTAAGGAATTTCTACGGAAGATATTTTTCATTCACTCCACTCCAGTTTTAAGCGTACATAGCTGTATACTCGTTAGTAAACACACATACAATATTTGAATTTGTAAATACTGAGTAAGGCCATAAACAGTGTGAGAATGACGAATTCGCTACCGGTAGACTCACGTCGAATTGTGCCAGCGATAACGTCGCCAAAATTTCCCAAGACAACTACATATCTAGGTAAAGGAGACCACAGTTTTTTTACTCAGTAAGTTTGAAACAACGCAAGACTAGATAGAAGGCCAGTTCTGTTGAGAAGGCTAAACAAAGATATCAGAAGACGTCTTCAGTGGTTGTTATTTCACGCGTGTTTATTTTACACTGAGCTGTATAAAAAGTATGACACTCGCATCGCGCATGATTTGAGAAACTGTTCTTTCTTTGGACACTGATTGCCTTTTCGTTACACGCCTTTATAATGGTAATAGGAGCAAGTGGAGTCCAATTCGGTCCGTAATCGTACGAGTTGAGGTCCTTTTTGAAAATCATATCTTTTATGAAAAAGTTTCCTCAATAAAGATGATTACTTAGTATGATTGCAGGTGGAATTGGACGACGCGAGGTCCTGTTACAAATTAATCAAAACTGCAACAAAATTTTAGAAAGAAACTAGACATCGGCTACACGTTTTCATAAAAAAAAACAACGGTTAACTCGGCGAAATGCGAGATAACAGCGTGTTCTATCCACTTACAAAGGCATGATGTGTTAACTGTCCTATTACACTGTCCAATTACAAGCATGACGCATGCACTGTCCTATCAGTGCTCAAATCGGGCTGATGATAACCAGTCACGTTCGAGAATTTTGTTTTAGTTTTGATTAGAGTTCTGATATTGGCTGTCTTGACCCTTTAACTCCCATTAGTGACCAAGACAGGATTTCTCCTCACAATATTAATACAAAATCAAGAAGACAAGTGATGAGAAGCAAGAAAGGTATCGATATGCGGATTATCAGCAGATCAAATACCAACTTCTCAGAAGTAACATCAGAGGAATTGTATAGCAGTAAGAAGAATTACTAATAAGATCTTGGGAGGGGAGGGATTATTAGTGACTAATGACGGTAAAAACCATGTATTTGTAACTCTGAAAAACACTAAAAACGCAACGGGCAGATAGACAGATTGAAGCTTTGGCGGTTATGTTCGGCCTAAAACGATTCCACTTGTACCTTTACGGCCATCATTTCCCAATCCTCATGGATCATGAGCCGCTGGAGCGAATTTTTGGTCCCCAAGACAGCTATTCCCTCATAGGCAGCCATGAGTCTTCAACGTTGGGCCATGATACTGTCAGCATTCAATTACAGCATTACAGATTTGTATCGAAGCAAAATGCAGTGGCTGACGCGCTATCACGACTGCCCTTTCCCTCCACGGTTAACGGAGAGGATGCCATTTATGGAATGGAAGAACGTCTGGTTCACTCGTTACCCATTACGCACAAGGAGATAAGCTACGCTACGCGACCCAGTACTATCTAGAGCGTCAGAGTTTGTCAAACAAGGATGGTCACGAGATGTGGAAGATCTACGCCTCCACCCTTTTTCACTGAACCGCTGATTTGAGTTATCGGTAGAGCAAGATTGCGCTAGAATCACCCTTTTCAATGCATCATCATCCCTAAGGCACTTAGACCAGATATCGTCTTCAGAAGCCATGAAAGTCACCTTGGCATTGAAGCATGGCTAAGTAAAGCTCGAGATGCCGTCCTTTGGCCCGGAATGAACGGTGAGATAAGGGAAGCAATTGCAAAGTGTTCTGTGTGTGCAAAGTTTCAAGTGGATAACCCCATAGAACCAATGCAGACACCGAAAGTTCCAGATCTCCCCTTCAGCAGACTTGCAGTTGACATGTTCACCCTTCACAAGAAAGATTACATCGTCCTAATGGACTATTATTCAGACTTTGTTAAAGTCCAAGAGCTTAGTGACAGCCTCACCGACCATCTTTCAGTTTCTGAAGGAACAATTTAGCAGGCACGGAATCCCAAATGTTCTCGTTTCAGATAATGGCCCACAAATAACAAGCCAAGAATGCAGGACACCACAGGGTGGGAGTTCAAACATGTAACAAAGATTCGTGGCTAGCTATACTTGAATATAGAAACACGCCTGTGGATACCATAGATCCAGCCCAGTACAGAGACTCATGTCTCGAAGAACGAAGATGCTCATGGAAGACACGAAGACGGAGACTGGTCGTGAAATCATTCGTCGCAACAGGTAGTTTCTCAAACCACAGGAACAGTCAGCAGCAAATGGGGGTCTGGAAACTTCACACAAAGTTACCAAGTTTGTTTGGAGTACCTTTTCTCGCAGTGCCTATCCAAACAAAAGTTAGCCTGTATTTATCGGATCCTGCACCTGGTTTCGTAACTAATCCTGTACTTGATCCTGCACCTGATCTTGTACCTCACCCTATACCCGTGAAGCGTACTCGTACCAGGATCTTTAAAAGCCGCCCTAATAAGTTCAAGGACTTAATTTTAACTATTCAGATTTAAATGGACACAGAATCGCTGAATTCAGAACTCGATAATTTTGTTCTAGTTTACTTTTATTTTCATTTTATTTTTGTTCTTTTTCAAAAAAAAAAGGAAGATGTTACGATATTTGCATATTTTATTTGATTGCGTCAGAGTTTTGTATTTCCGCACATTTACATATTTGGTAGTTAAATTCAGTTTCTCAAGCAACATTAGACCAGACGAGACGTAAAATATGACGCTGAGCTCGAAGTTTATTTTTTTTAGCGTAATTTTGGTTCCTTACTTCCTCTCGTTGAAAGGAGAAATACTGAATCTCAAAGCTGATGACCCAGGCGTCCTTGATGCACTTGATTTTGCCATGAATGAACTCAACGCTATAAGGAACAACTTGTATCGCTTGATGTCCACCAAAGTTGAGGACGCTATTGTGCAGGTGAAAACGCAGCTTTGTTTGGATCGATACATTAATTTGTTTCAATTTAAGGAAAACTTCGCTATTTTTCCAGTGAATAAAAACACGTCACAGCAAAACTAAATTTCTTAAGCATCCCTTGTCGCCACCAAGAAGCACGACATAGGTTAAGTTGACCATGATAGCCGCAGATTTACCGCGGGTTGATACTGAAGTAAAACATCGAACAGAATGAGAAAGTCAAAGATCTAAGGCTATTGTTTGAAAGGTTTTTTATTATGTAGAATCTTATCTCGCACCCACAAATTTGCATTGAATTTAAATAATTTGCACGCCCAACTGCGCAGCGCAAAACAGAGGTACGAGAAACAGGTTGTTAATGTCCAAGTAATCGAAATTGCGAAGGGGTGATGAAAGTCTCTTGCTACTACTTTCAAGGCCAAACAAAGTAAATATAAGCCACATGTATGTTAAAGCTACCTAATGTTGCCAATCAGATTCTTTGCTTCCCACGCATTGAAAGACGATCGGTTAAGGGGAGTTATAGGTTAAGTTGACCATGATAGCCGCAGATTTACCACGGGTTAAAACTGAAGTAAAACACCGAGCGGAATAAGGAAAGCAAAGATCCAGGGATATTGTTTGGAAGTTATTAAATATTTAGACCCTTATCTCGCACCCACAAATTTGCATTAAATTTAAAGAATTTGCACGCCTAACAGGTACGAGAAACAGATTGCTATTGTCCAAGTAATCGATATTAATAATAATAATAATAATAATGAACGTTCTTTAATACGCATTTAAGAATCTCAATGCGCTTACAATTTTTTACTAAGGTTGAGATCGGACGTCAGCATAATCAGGCGCCTCTGGCAGCCGCTTTAGTCCATGTAACGACCTCACCTTTTCCCCCCCTATCCCACCCCAGGGGAGGACATCCATCACACAGTAATCTCGTGCGTGGGAAATTAACGTCTCCTACCCCTAACCCTGCAGGAGACGGGACCTCCATTTATTCGTCCCTATCCGAGAAGACTAGAATATCTAACCATTTCTTGATGTTGAGAAAGGAAGCATATTCTTCTCAGTTAATTTTAAGACCCTGAGTGTTGGTCCGGCCGGTATTGAACTCTCGACCTCCCGCACAGCAGTCCGGCGCTCTCCCAATTGAGCTAACCAGGCGGCGGTGGTATTATATTACCAATGTGTCATGACCAATGTGTCATGAAAGTCTATCGCTACTACTTTCAAGGCCGAACAAATATATCGTACATGTATGGTGCGATATAATTTATTCAGAGATGTGAAAGTTGCTGGAGTTGCCAGCATTTACAAGTTGTCGCTCAGTCAGGATGTATACCGCAACAAGTCGTTTGAGAGATTTCGGCTGCCGAAAAGTGTGGAGGATGAGAAGAAATGTGTAGATAATGCAGTACCGAAATCAACAGCTTATTAAACCAAATAGTCGTGTAAGGTTTTCGAGGAATAGAAACGGAATCGATCAGTGAAATCCTGTACTTTGGAACCCGGCGGTCTTTTTACCACGAAAGACTTTGAAGAAAGAGTACAAACTTTGGACACGGCCATTACAGATATGCCTGCATGCAGTGTGAACTACTGGCTGTTGAAGTTCGTTCAAGAAGTAAGCAACTCTTCTGGGGAACGCTATCCTTCCCGTTCGTTGTACTCGATTATTTAGGGACTGAAGCGCCACCTTTGTGATGTAAATAGTGCAAGTTGTGTCAAGTTTAAAGATTGTGAAGTAAATTTTTGTGTAATTGGGCTTAAATAAGACAATGAAGCACTGTAAAAGTAAGATTACTTGTGACTATAAGCAGGGCTCAACACTAAAGGTAGCCCACTAGCCACAAACTAGTAGAAATTCAGTTTTGGCTAGTGGTTTTCGATTTCCATTAGCCAGTTTGGCTAGTAAACAAATCGAAATTGACCGAACTAGTTTTTCTTTTTTCAAGGAAGACAAACTCAGACACTTTTCTCGGAATTTCGTTAAAGGCGTATCGTGTTACCGGGCACGTATGTAAATTTATGTCCGATTACTTTTCGCTCTGGGTATTATGTTGAAAGAAATATTTGACCGACAAGAAAGCGTTTTCTTTTTGTTACGAAATTACTTGAAGAAAACATGAGCTTCCTGATAAAATCACGCGCAAAATCGTGCGGCACTGTAAAGGGATAACATTTAATTTAAGTCCTCAGTTGATTGTAGTTTACGTCTCGATTTGTCAGTCAGTGGTTGCAGTATCGTCGTAAGGTATTTCGACAGTTGGTACGTCGGGTCCCCGAACTTTATTGACGCAATCAAAGACGTACAGATACCTGACGACTACAAACTTGTGTCTTTTGATGTGAAATCACTGTTCACCAGTATTCCACTTCAATTGGCTCTACAGTGTACTGAAACCGCCATCCAACAGTCTACTGATGCACTACCATTACCGACAGAAGACATTATGGACCTACTTAACCTCTGCCTTACATCGACTTACTTTCAGTACAACGGGAAACACTACAAGCAGTTGCACGGAACAGCTATGGGGTCGCCGGTCTCCGTTGTTGTCGCAGAAATTGTGATGCAAAACATCGAGGAACGCGCCCTTGCAACTTGCCGACAAACCATACCGCTTTGGTTACGCTACGTTGACGACACATTTACCGCCGTACACAAAGACGAAATTGACGCTTTTCACAATCACCTTAACGAACAAAACACCGACATTCAGTTTACCAGGGAGATCGAAGTTTGTCGAAGAAGACGGCAAGCTTCCTTTTCTCGACTGCAACAACACTGTTGTTACAACAACAACGACTTCTGGAAGGGCAAGTTTCAGATGCGAGACCGTTACCCCAACTTATTGCTGGTCATCGAGGTCTGCCTTGTTATACCTGTGCAAACTGCTTGTTGTGAAAGAGGCAACTCCTGTCTGAACAGAGTTATGTGTGACTTCAGGTCAACCCTTGATGTTGGGACTGTTGAAGCCCTCATGAGAATTTCTCTTAATGGACCAAACCCATTAGAGTATCACTCTTCTTTAGCTGTTGCAACCAACTTTCATGGACTAATTTCATTATTAATTTCTTGCCATATGGACAATGGAAAAACAGTATCAACTAGTTTAATCATGTGACATCTTGAATTTAATACTGTTGTTGTTATTATATAATTGGAACTGGTTTAAAGATTGCATCTGGACAATCGAATCTCTGAACCTTAATTGCAGCCTAACTGATTTTTCTCTGGTAACAAAACATCTTAACCATGTTGCATTTCAAAAAATAGTTGTTTTACCTTTCGAACTGGTCTAAGTAAAGTGTAATTACTGGTACCAACATTATGTAAGAAAAGGTGTCGTTTGCATTGTACTTTCAAGTCTTGCTAATAATTCTGCTGTTACTGGACCTAGCCAACATCAAAGCTTTGCTAGTAAAAAAGAATTTTGGCCAGTAACATCGAAGCTGTCACTAGACACTAGGCTGGTAAGTTGAAAAGTTAGTGTCGAGCCCTGATAAGTATTCAATGATTTTGTGCAAGTTGTCATTGTGCATATTTTAGTGGTATATACCACTCTCACTGGAGAGTGGTATACTGTTTTTCATTGGGTATCCAAACACATGCACATGATGTGGTATACATCTTGTGGTCGGTAGTTGACCTCATGAATAATAAATGAGTTTGAGAAGTGCATGGAAGCATAGAGTGAGATTGTGCTTTTGGATACAGATTGACTAAAGATGACAATTTTAGTTGGTTTGTTTGTTTTTTAAGTATCAGAGGTGATTCTTGTATGGTTTTATGTTTCAGGTTGTTTCTGGCCGAAAGTTCTGTATTGTTTCGGAGATTGGCATTTCCCGAAGTTGCCGGAATGATAAGGCTCACAAGTCCGCCTCTCTGGATACTTGCCCTGTTGACACATTAGAGGTAGGAGACTTTGTTCTAGGGATATGTGGATGTCATAAGACTGAAAATGGCGGCAATGCTTTGTGTAGATAAATTCAACACATTTAACGCCAGAAAGGGAATGCACATTTAATCTATTTGCCAGATAGGGGAATATTTAGATGTAAAGATGTGTAGATGTGCATATGTGTAGATGTGTAGATATGATCCAACTGAAAATAGGTAATTAATACAAATATCTTAGTACAAATATAACAACAACTAGAAGAACAACACAACTACATGAAATAGAAACTTACAGCTGTTTCACAATCAGGGGTACCTTTTGAGGTCAGGAAGAGGAAAAAATAAAGTTTTATCTTTCAAGAAGTAAAAGTAATTTGTAGGTAGCTTTGTGCCTTGGGTATACTGAAAATATCTTTGCACAAACTGCCTTAAATCCATTTAAAGAGGTCACTGCAACATTCTTCAGTAAAGGAAATTAAGCTATAACAATTAGTAAGAATTTCATCAACACATAGTGGAATTTAATAAATTGACTTCACTCTGGATTTAAAAATCAGAGCCAACAGAAGTCTGCACAAAGTGAGAATCATGTCCTTCAACCTAGTTACTAAACAACAGTTTCCAGTCAATTAAAATTGTAATTTCCTCCTAACATAGTAGGCACGCATAAAAGTAATTGTGATCTGCCATCAAAAAGTCATTAGTTCATGTGTAACTTTTGACTTTAACCATATCTTCTGCTGTAAAACGAAATTGCTCTCTCTTAATTGTCGACCAGTGTAGGAAAACTAGCAAAACATACTATGTTATCTTGAATTGGCTCCCAGGACTAATCTTTCAGAGTTGGCTAGATGTAAAGATCATCATCATTCTGTTTGTTGATTATGTCAGCGAATGCAAAGCCGACCTAGTTGCAATAACTGAAACTTGGTTATCAGACAACGACTCCGCTGTGTGCTACGAGATAACTCCTGCTGGCTATAAACTGTTACACTGCCCTAGGGGTGATCGTAGAGGTGGAGGTACGGCCCTCTTGTTCAGAGATAACATCAATGTTTCCAAGCTCGAAACTGTTTCAAGGATTTCCTTTGAATCTTCTGAATACCTTGTCTGCACTGGCTCCCTACGCTTTCGATTGGCAATCATCTATCGACCGCCGTACTCTGTTAATCATCCTGTGACTGTGAACAGTTTTATTGACGAATTTTCTGAGTACCTTGAATCTGTTATCCTATCTAACGATGTCCTGTGTTTAACTGGCGATTTTAACATCCATGTTGATGATCACAATGATTCAGCTGCTTGTCGCTTTTTGGATTTATTGGAGTCAATGTCTTTAACTCAACATGTGACAGAACCAACGCATGAACTTGGTCATACACTAGATCTGGTAATTACTCGAAAGTCAGACAACCTTATTAGCGGTCGACCAGCGCCTGACATTCTATTTTCGGATCATCTAGCGTTACTTTTCAAATTGAAAACACCTCGACCACCTCTCAAAGTTGGGCGTGTCTCATTTAGGAAGTTGCGATCAATTGATAAGTCTGCTTTTGCGGATGAAATCTGTAACAGCGAGCTTCTTCAAACGGATACTGAAGATCCTGACGAGCTGGCCGCCTTATTCAACAACACATTGCGTTCCCTGCTGGATCGGCACGCTCCTGTTAAGCAAAAGAATGTTACTATTAGATCTCGTGTTCCATGGATGAATGATGAAATTATATTGGCTAAACGTCAACGGAGGAAAGCTGAAAGGAAATGGAGGGCTTCTAAAGCACACATCGATTTACTATCCTATCGCGCAATGAGAAATCGAGTGACGTTTTTGAGTAACGAGGCTCGTTGTGCATACTATACAAACTTCATAACTGAGAACAGCACGGACCAGAGAAGGTTATTTAGAGCAAGTAAGTCCCTGCTGAATTTATCAAATGGTCCTGGCCTCCCACTGTCGACTAATGATTATCAGTTGGCTAATGATTTTGGAAAATTCTTTGCTCAAAAAATTGCTGATATCAAGTCTGTTATTGCAAACCAGAGCCGCCTTCCTGTCACCATCGACGCTGCCAGTACTGTGACTGCTTCCTGTTTTTCAGAATTTACTCTCCTGTCCGAATCAGAGGTTTTGATTTAATCAAAGCTTCATCAAAGAAATCTTGTCTTCTTTGATCCTATTCCAACCAAACTTCTTACGGACTTCGCCGATGTGCTACTACCTCCGATCACGAAAATAATAAATCTTTCGCTTGATTCTGGTTATTTTCCACGCACCTGGAAAAGTGCTCTAGTAAGGCCGCTGTTGAAGAAGGATGGATTACCTCTTGTTTTTAAGAACTACAGACCCGTGAGTAATTTGGCATTTATCTCAAAGCTGGTTGAGACTGTTGTTGCCAAGCAGCTACAGCATTATCTGAATGGCAACAATCTGTTCCCAGTGTTTCAATCCGCCTATCGACAGAACCACAGCACAGAAACTGCACTCCTTAAGGTTATGAATGATATTCTCCTTAACATGAACAGTCAACGTGTTACTCTGCTTATTCTGCTCGATTTAAGTGCTGCCTTTGACACAGTTGATCACGACACCATGCTACGTCGACTTGAGTCATCATTTGGTATACATGGGAAAGCCCTCTCCTGGTTTACGTCCTATTTGTCTGGTAGAACTCAACGGATAATGATTAACGATTCGCTGTCGGAACCTTTTAAATTAGAATGCGGTGTGCCTCAAGGTTCCTGTCTGGGTCCGTTATTGTTTTCGTTGTATACGAGCAAGCTTTTTGAGATCATTGAATATCATTTGCCCACGATTCATTGTTACGCTGACGACTCTCAAGTTTACATCTCATTCAGTCCCAACGACAGAGCTGAGCAACTTGCTGTAGTGAGGAGTATGGAGGACTGCATCAGAGACATTCGTCTTTGGATGTTGAATAATGATCTTAAATTAAATGACGACAAGACTGAATTCCTTATCATTGGCACATCACAACAGCTGGGAAAGCTCGACAATATCAGTATACGTGTGGGCGACTCAGACATACATCCCGTGCCAATTGCGAGAAATCTTGGTTCCTGGTTTGATTCAAGGCTCTCCATGGCAACACACATCACGAAAATTTGTGCCTCTTCATTTTACTACATTTATAATATTCGTCGGATCAGAAAGTACCTTTCACAGCAGTCAACGGAAACTCTTGTCCATGCATTTATAACGAGCCGCCTGGACTATTGCAATGGCCTATTATATGGACTACCGGACTGCTTGTTGAATAAGCTGCAACGAGTACAGAATGCTTGTGCCAGATTGATTCTTAAAGAACAGAGATTTTGTCATATTACGCCCTTAATTTTTAAGTTACACTGGTTACCAATTAGATATAGAATTGAGTTTAAAATATTGTTAATTACTTTTAAGATTCTTAATTTTTAGCCCCTTCTTATCTATCCTCTCTTATTTCCCTTAGACCCCCCTCCAAATATAATTTAAGAAATTCCAGTGATAAGCTTTTACTTAGCCATCCATCATTTAAATCGAAAGCTACACTGGGGGACCGTTCTTTTACCTGTGCTGCTCCGAAACTATGGAACGAACTACCGCTGGATATTAGGAGCGCAAGAACAGTAAATATTTTTAAAGCTAAACTGAAGACTCACCTTTTTCGTAGTGCATTTCTATAGCTTTTTTTTTTTTTTTTTTTTTTTTTTTTTTTTTTTTTATCTCGTTTCTTAAAATTATTGTAAGTCTATTTTAATGATAATTTTTAATCTTGTAATGCGCATTTGAACATTTTATGGAATTTGCGCACTATAAATTTTTAATATTATTATTATTATTATTATCGTCACACTTTTTTATGAACCTCAGATGGGCTTCCTTTTCATTCTCTGAGATGTCAAGCACCTCTGCCATGTATAGATGTACACTTTTAGATCCATGCAACGTGACAGCAACAAAATCTTCGATCTCAGGTGCATAGCTTGCTGTTGGTAAAGAAGGTATTGAACAGCTGGTAGTGGAGGTGGTGCTGGTGCTGGTACTGGTGCTAGTGCTGGTGCTAGTATTGGTGATGGTACTTAATTGTGCTAGGTTTGCCTGATTGCTTCTGATTGAGCAATTGCTTTGGTTCTGAGGGTGTGGTATGTTCTTTATCTTGGCACTTATTAAGAGTACATTGTCCACAGCCTTGACAGTATTTCTGCTTGCTTGCTTTTTTAGACATTTTTTGCTTGCTTCTCTTTTCTTTGCTGCTGATGATCTACCAGGTTTGGCCAACTGTGTTACCTGATATTCCTTTCTCTTCTTCCTATGCATTTTTATCTCAAGCCTTTTTTCTCTCTCTTCTGCCTTCTTAACAACGGACGATGCACAGGGTACTCCTTCCGAGCCTGTCTACTCTTTTTCTTTCTTTCACTATCTTTTTGATGTGCTTCAGCGAGACGGACAGGTTCTTCCTTAATTCTTGCCCTTTGCCTTTGCTTCTTAAGTGTATTCTGGCTAATCTGCCCATCCTTACCTTTTTTACTGTTTGCCCTCCTCTTTTCCTTGTTCTGGTCTCTTAAATGCATTCCCTAAAAAGCTGGAGTTTGATTGCAATCTACACTGCAAAAGCAGGAATACTCAGTGCACAATGCCACAGTGAGACTCACTCTCATGTAAAGCCTGTTACTTTACATATGGTCACTCAGGCTAATTGTTAAATGAGACTTTCTAGCATTCTTGAAATGTAAAGGTTCTTCAAGGTATCAGGGTATAAAAGCTGTTCTGTATCAAGCTGATCATGAGTAAAGGGTTTCCTTTATTAACCAGCCTGAAAATGGTTTGCACATTTTCTAGCTGTTATCATAGTCTAAAATGTTTTTGCAGCAGTCTAGAATGCTCTTTTGCAGAGAAAATCCAAGTTTCTAGTTAATTTATATTTTGCTCTATCATTTGACTATTTATAACATATCATGTTGGTAATAAAGGTAATTTAAGAATATTGGGGGTATGGACACTACATTGGCAACAAATCATTAAATATTTCCTTACTTATTGGTGACAGCAGTCTTATTTATAAATCCATACAAGTGACAACTCTCCTCTTAAATTAGATGAATTTCAATAAAATTCAGAGAGATAACAGTAGGGGTAATTGGACACTACACAATTTTTGTGAAAGCGAAGGCCTCAATTTAAACAAACACATATAGTAAGCTGGAATTGTTCCAGTCAAGTTCATACTTTTTCCCAATTTCCTAGGAGAAAAACCAAAGAAAAGTTTCTCAAAGATTTTAATATACCCAGTGTCAATAGTTATTGTCAAAGTCAAGAAAATATTTAACAATAGTCAGTTTGCAGATTAACTGCTGGTAACTGTAAAATTCAAATGATTATTCCTTTCAGTTCATAGTAAGAGTAAGGGAAGGGGTTCAGCAATATATTCTGCACTCATTTGTTATGTGGGTGGGTGATATTTTCAAAGTGAGTTATATTTCTCATTTTGTATTAAAATATGAATGTCACACTGCAACAGTATGATTAGAGCATTGTTAACCACATAATCCTTCATAATTCTGCCAAATTGTGACCAATTTCTGCAGTTCGTTTTATTTTGTGCAGCACAAGGTTCTCTTTCTTACAACGCATTTCCTGTTTGTTACCAGTTTGAAAATAAAAGCTTGTAACATCACACAAGTAAAAAGGGTACACTTAATTGTGAAACAGCCGTTACAATTTGTGGCGCAACCAGGTCCAGTAGTAAAACTCTTAAACAAAAGCAACACAGTGCTAACAAAAAGTACCAAAATGGCTGACTTTTAAATCAACTAGCCATGAACTAACCACAACAACGCTTATACTTGCAAGAAATAAATCAATGTATTATTCCTTGTCAATAGGAATGAAATTGAATAACGGATTGGTTTTAAAATTATATTGCTTAGATTTTGTATACTTACCTATTTCTTATGAGTCTCTTGCCCCAAGAGATCTGTCAGTTATAGACCACTTTTTGCTGATGTCAAACCTTTCATTTCTTGGGCACTTACACCAAATACAAACAAAATTTTGATTTGCAGCCCCTAGACCACAAACACAGGCTAGAAATTTCCAGTCTCTTCCCAAAGAATACTCAATGCTATACTTATGACTATTTACAGTTATTTCTTTCAAATTTGACATTTCATTATTTAGATCAGTAAGGCTTTATTTAAGACTGTCATAGTTCTCTGTTGTCATAGTTCTCTGCAACTTGACAGCAACAAAATCTCCAATCCCAGGTGCATGACTTGCTGTTGGTAAAGAAGGGATTGAACTGTTGGTAGTGGAGGTGGTGCTGGTGCTGGTGCTGGTGCTGGTGCCAGTGCCGGTATTGGTGATGGTACTGGTGTTAGGTTTATTTCCTGATTGTTTCTGAATGTGCAATTGCTTTCATTCCTAGGGTGTGGTATGCTCTTTATCTTGGCACTGAGTACCTTGTCCACAGCCTTGACAGCACGACATGCTTCCTTTTTTTGGTATTTTTTGCTGGCTTCTCATTTCTTTGCTGCTGATGATCCACAAAGTTTGGCCAACTGTATTACCTGAAATTCCTTTTTCTTCGCCCAACACATTTTCATCCCAAGCCTTTTTGTCTCTCTTTCAGCCTTCCTAACAAAGGGTGGTGTTCAAGGTACTCCCTCTGAGTCTGTCTACTCTTTTTATTTCTTTCTCTTATCTTTTTGATGTGCTTCTGCAAGACAGACGGGGTCTTCCTTAATTCTTGCCCTTTGCCTCTCAAGTGTATTCTGGCTAATCTGCCCATCCTTACCATTTTCACCATGAGTCTTTCTCCTTTCCTTGTTTTGATCTCTCAAATAAATTCTCTAAAAAGCTGGAGTTTGATTGCAGTCTACACTGCAGAAGCAGGCATGCTCAGCGCACATTATGCTGCAGTGAGTCTCACTCTCAAGTAAGGCCTGTTAATATATGTGGTCATTCAGGTGTATTATTAAATGAGACTTTCTTAAGCATTCTTGTAATGTAAAGGTTCTTCAAGGTATCAGAGTATAAAAGCTGTAAGGTATCAAGCAGATCACGAGTAAGGGGTTTCCTTTATTAATTACCCAGCCTGAAAAACATTTCACACATTTTCTAGCTGTAATAGTAGCAGTCTAAAATGTTGTTGCAGCAGTCTAAAATGCTCTTTCGCAAAGAAAATCCAAGTTTCTGGCTAAGTTCCATAATTTGCTCTATCACTTGACTATTTATAGCACATCATGTTGGTAAAAATGGTAATTTAAGAATATCAGGGTTATGGACACTACATTTGGCAACAGATCATTAGATGTTTTTTTACTTATTGGTGACAGCAGTCTTATTTGTAAATCCTTGCAAGTGACAATTTTCCTCTTAAAATGTATACCTTCATTAGATGAACTTCAATAATATTCAGAGAGATAATAGTAGGGGTACAAACACTACACAAATCCAAGGCCATAATTTTAGCAAACACATAATAGCAGGCTGGAATTGTTCCGGTCAAGTTCATACTTTTTCCCAATTTCTTAGGAGAAAGAACTATCCTTTTATCTCAAATTTGTTCAGTTTACCAACATTTTGCAAAGATTTTAATACATCCAGTATTAATAGTAATTGTCAAAGACAAGAAAATATGTAAGAATAGTTAGTTTGCGGATATTAACTGCTGCATGGTAACTGTAAAATTAACATAATTATTCCTTTCAGTGGATAGTAAGATTAAGGGATAGATTGCAACAATATAATCTGCACTTATTTGTTATGTGAGCGGGTGATATTTTCTAAGTAAGTTATCTTTCTCATTTTGTATTAAAATATGAATATCACCTCTGCAACAGTGTGATCAGAGCATTTTTTAACCACTATAATCCTTCCAAATTCTGCCAAATTGTGACCAATTTCCACAATTTTTTTAATTTGGTTCAGCACAAGGTTCTCTTTCATACAACACATTTCCTGTTTGTTACCAGTTTGAAAATTAAAGCGTGTAAGTCATCACACAAGCAAAAAGGGTACACTTGATTGTGAAATAGCCGTTACAATTTGTGGTGCAACCAGGTCCAGTAGTAAAACTCTCAAACAAAAGCAACACGGCGCTAGCAAAAACTACAAAATTGACTGGCTTAGTTGTTCACATCTTGCAACAGATAACATCAGCGAACAATTATCTAAACATATTTTCTTGCAAAATGCAGTGAAAGCCTCATGGTAGTGGAAGTAAGGTTTGAAAATTGGGGAATATCCCTAAGGTGATATTCTTGGATATCACCCAATTTTAGCAGGGGGATATTTGGTCATGTCCTACATTAAGACCAATTAAAAAATGTTTGATGGATCATATTTAATATTGGTTTTGTTATTTATCTTTTTTTATTAATCTTTAACACATTTACATGAATTATTGCATTAAACTTTTTATAAAGGATTTTACCCGTACTCAAATGACAGATCACTTCGTTCCTCACAGATGCGGTGTAGATTTGTGGTTAGTGTCCATTCGGAGAAGCAGAAAGACTTCATCAGCAAGGAGTGTTTCGGTTTGGAGGAAAAAATTACGTCATGTGAAGATGTGAGTAACTTTGTGGTAGATTTTGAAAGGCAATCAAAGGTAAAAGCAGGTTTTGTAGAACACCAATCATGAGAATTTATAGGCCCCTCTTGCTACATGTACCATAACAAAGGAGGCTGTTCTCCAAAATGTTAACAAGGATGAACATGTAACATGTTTCTGCTAAACAGAAATTTTATGGCACTGGAGAGGAGCATGGCATATGCAAATTACTAAATCTTGAATGTTGAAAATTTTAAGGCCATAAAACTTAATTTATTGAAAAAAATTAAGGTGTGTAATGATTGTTTACAGTTGTTGCGGGCTATGCCATTACAACCCTAAGCTATAAAAATGTCTGTGATTTCCTTTTTATCCACAGTTAGTAAATAAATATGCATACTCAACTGCAAACGCATGGACACTTAAAAAAGTATTTACAGTGAACAATGAGACTCTACAGTTCTCTGGGTATACATAAGTACAGAATAGTCACTATTAGCATGTGGTATTTAATGGAAGCGATGCACGCTTTCTTGGAAGAAAAGGATTATAATAACAAAGGTTTTTCATAAATAGTGAGAGAAGCGAATCACTGGTGATGTATCTGCAAATAAGCATTTCCCATTGGTCTCGCATCTTAATTGTAATAAGCTGCTCACCTTCGAACGAGGACCCCTGCTGTAAGTAAAGATCCCAGATCCTCTGGAATTCTAGGAAAAGTGAACATTTGGGATTCATCACAAAGGCAGACGAGTTCAGATTAAAAAAGGCGAGGCCTACAATTTTTCAAAGGTTCCTTTGCCATTCTTGAAAAGGTGTCATCCTTCAGGTCTGAAGTTTCTTTACTTGTATGAGTGCTCTTGTGGGAGTCACATATAGGAGAGGGGCATTGGGGTTTTCGGTTTTGCGGTTTTGGCTATTTTCTAGATCGGTTTTTCGGTTTTTGTGCCAAAAAAACTTCGGTTTCACGGTTTTGATGTTCATTGCAGTTTGCGGATTTTCCGGTTTTTCGCATCTGGTTTTTGGTTTTCGCGAAAAATATTAACGGGTTTTCGGATTGATATCCAATGCGGTTTTCGGTTTTTCCAATTTGACCTATTTGGGTTCCGGTTTCTCTTCGATCTGAGCGGCAGTTACACGCCTCCACTGATCTCGAATAGCAGCTAAACGCAAATGTTATCGAGACGAATGCGTGACAAACCAATTGAAATATCGCAGGGATCCCTAGGTAGCCTACGTGTAGCGGACCCTCAAGGTGGGGGGGGGGGGGGGTGGTTACGGCTAAGCGCGGAACATTGCTAGGGTTTCTTTATCAACGTCACCTCGAAATTGGTGACCAAGTTACAGGCCACACATGACTGATTGATTCAACATTCCAACAGAATCTCCAAACTTTCAGATCTTAGTTCGCAAATGGAAAGGTTAGATTAGGGATATCCGATGAAACTTTCCAGATGAAACTATAGCTTTTTGCAACTGCAAAATTGAAATCCTATAGAGGACTTTAGTGCGAATTTCCTTAATTTAACTAGGCTCCATTACCAGCTGCTGAGTTCGCAGAGACCACGCTCGAGGTCCTCGAGAGAGCAGCTGTTAATTTAAGCAGATACTAGAAGATACGAATGCTAAGTCCATGGAATTCATAAATCCTGTAATGAAATTAGTGTAGTTTAGCCTGTATGCTACACTTGTCACCACTGTATCGGATCGATCAGGTTTTAATGACTGGGATGTGAAAATGTATTGGTTTTGACAGTTTTGCGTGCGGTTTTCGGTTTTGATCGAATTTTTTTTTAGGTTTTGGATGATTTTTCCTACGGATTTGCGGTTTCTAAGAGGCCCCAATGTCCCCCTCATATAGACCTCTGACTGTCTGCCACTGCAATGGAATCAAAGAATATTGTGGTTATCTAACATCTTATTGTTCTTGTAACAACAGCATGATATGACAGAGGATAATGGGGTAGGATGGGGCAGTGAGTACTTTTGTAGAAAATCATATTCATTTGGTAGCTGAGATGTAAACATTGTTTTTTTCCCCTAAAAATACTTACCCAGACTAACAAGAGGGAGGCACCCTTGTACCATGAGCCCTGCCCATAGGGAAGCCTGTGAAGCTCATTAAAATCTAATCTGAATTGATATTTGTGTTTGGCAGAGTAAGTGGTGGTTAAATATGGCCAGTGAAGTCGAAAGAGATGGATTTGATGGTGCCATGTCAAGTTCTACAGCTCCTGCCTTGAGAATGTGGCTACCTTTTTGGGGTGGGATAGAGGCTAATGATACTTGGACAGCTCGAATATTGGCGTTCTTCATCCCCATTGTTATAATTTTACTCCTCGCATATTTGGTATGGGCTTTTTACAATTTCATTTTCTGTCTGCTGGCTTTTAACATAGAATCAGCGAATAGAAATGAAGCACTAGCACTGAAGTCGAAATAACACGAAACGTTAGAAACTCTTAACGGTGGCCAGTTTACGTTATCAACTCAGTTGATAATACTAAATTACCCTGTTATTACTCTCTCTCCAACGCAGCACCACAGTTTATTTAGAGACTCCCTTTATTCATATGAACATAAGAGGCTGGTCATTATTTCTCGCCTGGGTTGAGGTAGTGTAACGATAAGATTTTTAGTCATCGAGTTTTTGTGCTAACTATGTATAAAATTCAGCGTGGAAACTGCGAGATTTTGCCAAGCTCAGCAAAGCGTGCATGCTATTAGTTCCAATTCAATCAGTCGTAAACAGTCCTTATTTGGTCATAACTGTAATAGGTGTTAAACTGTAACCGTCGCCTGTCGTGGCCTTTAGTTTAGTTGTTATCTACCTGAGCTTTTCGGAAGTGATTAATCTTGTAAAAGGCGAAATTCCTTTCTAGCCAGTCGTTGTATTAGATTACGTGATCCTTTAGATAATTCATAGCATTACCTAATCCTTTATACCTTTGGCTTACATGCAACTGTTTTGTTAATTTTCTCTGGTCAGGACCATTTCAGGTCAGAAAAATCAGTAGTTGGGTGAAGCTCAGTAGTACTTGCAGATTAAACTTACGTTGGAGCCAAATTTGTTGTTGTTCAATTCATTGTCTCAAGGATCGTCTATAGACTCAATAGATTCCAGCCTTCCCGCAGCCAGTGAGTGTCCCCAGGAAAAGCCCTTTCCAAACGAAGGTTATTGAGTTGTTTCCCCGTCCGTCTGTGTATTAGTGAAGGTGAAAAAACCTGTTTTCACGGTAAGATTTGATTGATTTTGTATGTGTTACAATGAAGACTATCTGATCCCCCCATAAGGCTCTGTAATATTCTAACGACCCTCTCCACCCCCTCCCGTTGGGAATTAATTTTCTATAATTTTCCCTCTAAACTGTCTGAGAGACTCCTAAACTCTGTTCGCGACGACTGATCCCCCTTCCCCCCTCTTGAACACCATGTGATCCCCCAAAATCCTCCGAAGTCCTCCTTCGGGAGACTAGTAAGACTGGTTCCTAAGCTGGTCTAAAAGAAGCAGAACGCACTAATCTTACGAAACTGCGCCAACTGCAATCATTTTTCTATTGTGAAAGAAGGTTCACTTTTTAGCTAAGTAAGTAAGAAAATTTTAGTGTATACAAGAATCAAAGCTACCTTTTTAAGTCAGCGTTTTTAATTTTAGAAGATTTTCCAGGATATTAGTCATTAATTCTACTCTGCAATATTCGTGTAGTCTGAATTTTCATTATATGTCAGGACACTGATACCCTTTCCGTTACACTCATTTATAATGGTAACAAGTGGAGTCAAATTCGGTCTGTAACCATACAAGTGATTGACAAAATCGATTTGTCAATCACGTGTATGGTTGCAGATGGAATTGGACGACACGAAGTCCTGTTACTAATTAATCAAAACTATGACAACATTTTAGAGAGAAACTAGACATCGGTTATGCGTTTTCAGAAAAAAAAAACAACAGTTAACTCAGCAAAATGCAAGACAACAGCGCGATGATTGTCTAGAGTTTCCGACAGCAATATATGAAGTCGAATTTCAAGAGGATCAATTGAAGTCATTCTAACTGATAAAATCCAAAGATAAAACACTTTGTCACAAAAATGAGACAAATTCAACAAAGGGAATGCAGATTGACAAAAAAATTGTTTTTAGGTAAAAAAGTTAGAACTGTTTGTTTTCCACCAGTAAAACGTTCTTTCCTAAAAATAAAGAGTTTCGCCTCTTCTTACCGGACTTTTCAGGGAAAGGAGGGTATTAGGACCCATGCAATGAGTTGGCACAGAAACTCATAAAAAGTCGCGGAGAGATACCGATTTCATCCTGCAAACCAGAAACCGGGGCAAAGCATCGTCAAGTTTATGAGAGAGAGTTAAAAAGTCTCGCAAAAACAGGTGAATTGACCAACGACCAGTTACATGATAGTCTTCAGCCTGTGACGCTCATTATAATCTAATCTGAATTGATATAGACCAAGTACTGGAGATCATGCCGTGAGAGTGATGGCCCCTTTTGGGGGTGGGATCGAGGTTAATGACAATTGGACAGCTAGAATATTGGCGGTCGTCATCCCTTTTGTTGTAATTTTATGCCTCATAGTTATTCTTTGTTTTCTTGTGTTGGGTCATAACGTAAAAATGGCGAAAATAAATGCAGCACCCACTCTGAAGTGGGACTAACGCTCGAAACGTTAGCTTTGAAACTCTTTACGGTGGCCAATTTACGTTATCAACTCAGTTGTTAACGCTTAATTTCCTTGTTATTACTCTTTCACCGACGCGGAACCATAGTTTATTTAGAAACTTACCCACTGTATTCATCTGAACTTGAGGCCGGTCATTATTTTTCGCTTGGGTTAAGGGGGGGTGGTAGGTAAGGTAGGTAGGTAAGACTTAATTTAATGAGGGAATACATTTGACAGTAATAAAACTGATAACCTAATTGCCCTTAAAAAACAAAACAGCAAACGTTCGACCACCTTCCTTACTTCTCTTGTATCGAAGGAAACTTAAGTTAAGATTATAGAAACGGGTTGATCTAATATATAGATTTAGCCAGGCCTAAAAGCATACTATTAGTAGTGTAGCGATAGGATTTTCAGTCATCAAGTTTGTATGCTAGCTTAAAAAATATACAAAATTCAATGTGGAAACTGCGAGAATTTGCTAAGCTCAGCAAAGCGTACATGCTACCAGTTCCAATTGAGTCAGCCGTAAACAGTTCTTATTTGATCATAACTGTAATTAGTGTTAAACTGTCACCGTCGCCTGTCGTGGCCTTTTGTTCAGTTTTTATCCACCTGAGCTTTTTGGAAGTGATTAATCTTGTAAATGACGAAATTCCTTTCTTGCCAATCGTTGTATTAGATTACGTGATCTTTCAGGAAATTAGCAGCATTACCTAATCCTTTGTACCTGTGTTGTAAAGTTTTCATTCGTCAGGGCCAGGTCAGGTCAGGTTAGAAAAATCAGTGGTTGGGAAAAGCTTAGTTTTACTTGCAGATTAAACTTACATTGGCGCCATCTTTGTTGTTGTTAAAGTCATTGTCTCAAGCATCGTCAACAGCCGTAATAGATTCCGGCCTTCCCGCAGCCAGCGAGTGTTCCAAAGAAAAGCTCTTTCCAAAAGAAGTTTATTCAGTTATTTCCCCGTCCTTCTGTTTATTTATGAAGGAAAAAAATCGAAATAGTTTACAGCGTGAAAGAGGCGGAGGAGTGACAAAACGAGGGAGGTTTGATTTGGGTTGCGTAAAAAACGCGTTCTTTACGCACTCTCGCGCGGGAGGTGGAAGGTTTTAGCCAATGAACGGACTTACATTAAACGTCTTGAGAAGCGTCTTGAGAAGCGTGTGTTGCCTTTCCGATGTCATCGGGAAATAATAAGACTAGCTAGTCTTACCGAATAAAAGCTATTAACCAGGGTTTCCAATGAAAAAAAGCCGCTTACCGGTAGTCTACCGCCGCCTAAAAGATCATTTGCCGCCGTCTGTTTAGCCTGCGAGCAAGCTCATTCGATATTGACGTGTCTGTGCCTTCCTCGTCTTCAAACACTAGGGATCATTCATGGTTTTACTTTTTGCTTTGCAGATTGTGTCTAGTCTGCGGGTTCAATAAGCCTGTTGCTATTTTGGGATATTTTTTTTCGTCGTCTTTTTTTCAGACCCATGCCTCAATCTGTACATTTTCTAGCTTGTTTATGTAAGACAACAGTTCCTGATACTTACGGCCTTTTACTGTACTGTTATCCAAACTTTAAAAGAGCTGAGGTGGAAACGAAATTGTTAAGCTATGACATACCTTACCAAGGTGAAGGAAAGTCAAAGGAGCCTGCTTGTGTCGGGGATGGAATTGTGGTTTCCCCGTTAGCGCTTGATTTTGTGAGGGAGTCTGAAAGGAATGAAAAGTTAGTTCTGAGGTAAGTTATTCATTTCCTTTGAAAAGTTTGTCACGATAAAGCACGGTAAGGCTAAGAGGCTTGACTAACCAAATTACCTCTTGACACTCTAACTCCCAAGATCCGATTGTTAAATCTCCCCTCAGCTGCAACAGATTTCCTTGTAAATTAACTATGAGAATTTGGTGTTTGACCAAGACTACAACTTCTACCCGATCAGTTTGAATGTTCTCATTACCTGTTTGCTGGATAATATATGATATTATAGGGAGAAGTTACATGTTAATCACTTCCGAGAGAAAAGAACAAACCGGGCGAGTTTTATACATTTTTATGAATCGCTTCCATAGATCATTGACATTTCTGATAGTTTGGTTACTTATTCAATTATCTTGTGAGAAAGTTATTATATAGGGTACTCTTGACTTAATTCATTAGTTTTTGTGCAAGTTACACCTTGGTAACAGGGTTCAAAGCCCCACATTCATCGGGTTGAATATGAGTGGGGGGGAGGGGGGGGGCGTTGGGTGGCGGCCAGTGTGAAGTAGAGAAGTAGAAATAAAATGAAACCCATGCAATCTGGCAAGAAACGTTTATTTGGTTTCCATTTTTCAGGTTTCTTACAAATGAAATATCTGACAACAGTGACATGGCTTTGATTGTTCGCGTGGACTGCGAAAGTGTTCCAACGGTGAAGTTTTCCAAAGGCGAAGAGCTGCCAAAACTACTCTTTGAAGTGCCGATCTTAAAGACTCGAACAGCATCTGCGGTACAGATAGGATCGTTTAGTAAATGTTTCTTTAAGAGCAATATTCAATTGAGTGTCAAAAGTAATCCGAGTTTTTATTAGTTTTACTTCACTTCGCTCTGTTATTGGTCCAGAAAACCCGCGTCTCTCTCTCAACCAATCAGATGCAAAACTGAAAGAAACCTCGACTTAGTTACGCGGGTTTTCCGCGCTTTAGGCAGATTGGTTGGTTTTGCTTTGACTTCTTATTGGTCCAGAAAACCCGTGTCTCTCTCTCAACCAATCAGATGCAAAACTGAAAGAAATCTTGACTTAGTTACGCGGGTTTTCCCGCGCTTTAGGCAGATTGGTTGGTTTTGCTTTGAATTCTCATTGGCGCTTAAAGGTATTTTCCTTGTTCTGTTTGGCTGTTGTGATTCCTTTGTTTTTGGTTTTACGACAATAAACTTTACAACACTCCACTCTTATTCGTGACCTAAACCAACACTTATTATTAGTACAGTAGCTTACTATACGTTCTCAATTACTGTATATTAGATAATTAATGAATTTTATCCAAGCATAAATGTTAGATTCTAAAATCTCTAGAACGACAGATTTCGGTCAGACTACTGGTTCTTTTAGTTTTAGTATCTTCAGGCCTTAAATACCATTTGGCATCAGGCAGATGAGTAAAAGTGGATGTTTTTTGACATATTGCTGCTTTTTTTTAAATTTTTTTTTTTTAACAATGATGCCTTCTTATTGTGTTACAAGTTCCTGTAACAGTGGGCATAGTACCTAAGGAAAGACTTGCACTTGGTGACTTAGCCTTGAAAATCACTCGATAGAAGTGG